GTCAAACCCTGTTGATGGGGAGGCCAATTTGACAACATCAGTCAAAAAATTTGACCCAGCAATTCTAAGCATTTATCCTAAAGAAAGAATCATGGGAGTGGGCAAATACTTAGCCATGAGGTTGTTTATTAGTTTAATAGCAAATAATTAGAAACAACCTCAATATGCAACAAAAGGGAATTGGTTGAATAAATCATGGTACTATAGAATAGTATTAAGCTATTAAAAATGAAGTAGGTGAGAAATGGAAAAATGTTCACCAATGTCTTATCAACTGAAAAAAAAAAAAGGTTATAACAGTATGTATGGCATGATCTTATTTTTGTAGAAAACCAATGTGTATGTTTCTTTTTCCAAAAAATGCTGGAACAATAAGAATTAAAATCCTAACAGCAATTATTTCTGGAATTTTCTTCTTTTTGCTTATTTGTGTGAATTACACCAAGCATGTTATTGCTTTTGTAATAAAGGAGGGAAAGTGGTGTAAGTTATTAAAAGAAATAGATTCCATCCGTGTGACTCAGCCAGCCCTTCTGATAACAAGGAACAAGGACTGTCCTACAAATGAGTTTGAAGTCTTCCGAGAAAGGACAGAAATCAACGAATTTAAAATGTCTGAGCAACGCGCGAAGTTGAAGGGAATACAAATTTCTTGGGCAAGATGGAGGTTATGGCAGCTGGCTGAGCTAACACGAAGGATGAACACCCTGTCCCGGGGCAGGCAACCGGCACGTACAAGATCACACACACAAAAATATCCGCCTTCTCTGGGCGGTCACCCAGGGCCAGGCCTGCGCTGGGTGCTGCAAACGCACCCTACATCCCTGGAGCCTCATTCCGAGGTGAACACTGCTCTCTATCCCATTTTACAGGTGGAAAATGAGGCTCAGAGATTAAGTGGCTTGCTCAGGATAACACAGCTAGTGAGAGAGGAACCAAGGTTCAAATGCAGACAGTTGGCTACAGAGCCTCCTGCACTCTTTATCCACTGCTCCACATAGGGTAAAAATCATTTCTCTTTTCATTGAGGCCCTGGCCTGATACGCTTGGATTTATATACAGACTGAATGCCAAGGGCAGACTCCAGCCGCCATCAAGGACAACACACTGATGGCATGCAGAGAAAGTGCTGGCTGGAAGCTGTTCCGTTGGCAGTCTGTGTGTACAGAGGCGCTGACTGGCTTCCGGCTGCTCCTGGCTTATCCTCACTGTGAAACTCCTGCACCGAGCCTTCCCTGGCTTTTCTGGACCCTTCCTCTCCACTGAACACTCATAAGGCTGCCAGATCAACTCCTCTGCTTAAATACCTTCAGTGGCTACCCATTACCTACAAGATCAAGTTCAAATTTCTGAGCCTGACATTTAAGACCCAGGCTACCTCAAACCTCGCTTCTCCTCTTCGCAAGTCTACCAAGCAGAGTCCCTTGCTATACGGCTTTTGCTTTCTCATCTGGTGCCTAGGCATAGGCTATGGAAGCAACACACACCTGCGTTTGAATCCCAGCTCTCCTACTCTCCAGCTGGGTAACCTTGGGAAGGCTGCTTCCCCTCTTTGAGCCTCAGTTTTCTCAACTGGAAAATGGGATAATGATAATAATACCTCACAGGGTCAGTGGGAAGATACTTTAGCTAATGCTTATGATCAGCTTAGCACAGGCCTGTTTGGGATGGTTTTGATATGTTGCTACAGTGAATAAGTCAAAAGGGCTCCCTGTACAGTCTTCAGGGGCCAGTGCCTAATTAGCATATTCAATCCACCACATGCAGGCTGAGATGACAGTACAGTTGAATCACTGAAGTGCCTCCCCTTACTCCAGTGGCTTTAAAACCATCTTCCCGGCATCCTTTCCACCCCTCTGGTCCAATCATGTTTTTGTGTTTGCCTTTGTGTCCCTCGACAATCTCATTTTCTGTGTCTCTAGCATTGTTTTAAACCTCAGTAGCCTTGTGTATTCTGCAGGCAACTCTGACCTCTTCCCCATACCTTTCACCATGTAACAGAGTCCTCTTCTCTTCTCTCCATCCCTGGTGTCTGAGCCTGCTTCTGTCTCCATCCTGTACAGACCTCCAACAGCAAGGGACACTTCTCCCTGGGGCTGCGATTCCATGTGATGCCGGATCCCCTAGGCTCACTAATCTTTCCCAGTGGAACACCTCCTTCAAACCGGGCCCTCCAAGAGGCATCCCTTCCCTTTGTTCGCAGACAGGGGAGACTGTGGCAAAGCGGAGATTGGGGAAATCAGTTAACTGGGGCTGCCCAGCTTCCTGATCTCTCATTTTCCCCTGCTTCTCTGTCAATGAAATGACTCGAATCATAGGTTCTATCAACAGAAGTATGGTGTTTAAAATGAAGATGATTGACTCTTTTTTCTATGCTGAACCAACCACATGTGTATTGTGCCTTCTGCTTCAAGTGCCAAAGGCAGGCAGGAAAGCAAAGGGCTGGGAGCATAGACTTTAGAAGCTGGCAAACCTGGGTGTGAATACTAACTGGGCCACTCCTCAGCCAGGAGCAAGTGACTGAGCCTCTAAATGAGGATTATAATCATACCTACTGCCTAGCTTTGTTTCAAGGATTCGGTGAGGTCATTTCTAGTCTGTGCTGTGCCCTGGCCTGAAGGCATCAGCTCCCCAGAAAGGCTGGGTGGGGCCCCTCTTCTAGGCTCCCAGGGCACCCATCGCACACTTACCGTGCTGGCCTGTGACTGTTTTTTTCTCTTTGTCTGGCTCCTATGCAGCTCCAGTTGGGATCTCACCTGAGCCTCACAATTACTCGTGAGGCAAGAGGGTGGAGGAGAATAGTCATCTCATTTCTCAAAAGAAAGCGAGGCCCAGAGAGACAAAGTAACTGGTCCATGGTCACACAGCTTGTTGAAATCAAGGGCCTGGACCCCCATCTCCCGACCCTTAATTCAGTTCTCTTTTCACTACCCTAGGCCACCCTTGTGAAAAATTAATTTGATAAAAAGGACAGAGGCCCCAGGTGCGTGTGAAAGAATGCTAAGTAGATCAGACCTCGAGATGGGAAATATGGTGGGAAAGCCCTTCATGTAAGCCCTGCAGACACAATACTTAAATGTACAGGAATGACTGGTGCTTGCCCAACAGTGGGTCCCTTTTCTCCCTGGCTTTTATGTGAAAAAGCACTTTAAGGAGGAGAAAACCTTAATTACCCCCTTGGGATGGCAGAGCACTCAAAGGACATGTCAGAGTGTTGAGGGCAGGCTCATGCAGCCAGAAAAAGCATATTCAATGTCATAGTTTCATATTTGGAAAACTAGAATTAACCACCCCTCATTTTTATAATTCAGACCACAGAAAGTAAAGCTTGACAAACCCCCTTGGCTGGGAGAGACCCATCGAGGCCCAGTGAATTCTTAAGCAGGATAAAGCTCCCCATCCCCAGGGGATGGGGGGTACATCTGAAATTCCAGGGCCTGAGATTGCAGGTTTAAATAGTTTGAGAAACGCAGCACTAAATGCCCTTTAAGGCTCTCTGAGTTGTAAAATTCTCTTGATGATTATTGATTGTTGGAAGAGAATTTTATGTGTGATGTGAAGTCGGAATTTCATGCGAGTTTTAAGGATCCCCTAGACACACATACACACACACACAGCTGGAGATGGCAACCTTTAGACAGAATAAATGTTTAACTTGGCTAAGGCTGCAAAATTGCACAACAGTCTCTGGTCAGTCAAGGCCCCTCCCTGCTGCCTCAGTGCCCAGAGATCTAGGTAAGCTCCAGTGCCAGCATGCCATGATATGGATGAACCTTGAAAACATCCTGCTGAGCGAAATGAGTCAGTCACAAAAGGACAAACATTGTATGATCTCACTTATATGAAATAAGCAAATAGATAGAAACCAGAGATTATTAGTGGTTACCAGGGGTGGAAGGGAGGGGAGAAGGGGAAGGGCTTGCTTAGAGGGCACTGAGTTTATGTTAAAAGTGATGGAATGATTTGGAACCTTTGGAGAATAGTTATACAACTTAAAGAATGTACTCAATGTCACTGAACTGTACGTGTAGAAATTGCGAGATGGCATGTTTTGTTACGCATCTCATCATCACAATAAAATTTTAAAAATAAAATAAAAAGCACCAAAAAAAAAAAAAAAAAAAAAAAAAAAATCCAATGCTAGCCTGCCCTTCTTAGTCTGGGAGCCTCTGCCTGGCCCTTGCCCCAGCCCCATTCCACTCCGCATTGAGTGCTGACCTTCCCCAGGTGGGTCTCCTGGAGCTCCAGCCTCCCCAACTCCACCCAGGCATTTTACGAATCAGTGCTAGGTGCTGATATTTGCTCCTCACCTCCAAGCTCCCCCCTCCTGTCTTCAATGCCAAGTTCCTTTTGAAAAGGGCCCACTCTCCTACCTTCTTCTCTTCCTCATCTCCCACCCCTCCCTCTGCTGTCTCCCCGCTGCTTCCTGGCAAAGCTGGGGCAGAGGTTCCACTGAGCCCCACTGTCAAGTCCAGGAGAGCGTCCAGCCTTTGCCTGGTTGACCTCTTGGCTGCCTCCTGACACTGCAATCGCTCTCTGCTTCTGGACTGTCTCTTTGCTCTCGGCCTCTTTCTGTGACCGCCTGTTTTCCTTCCTACTCTATTTTTTCATTCAGTAGGACCTAGCACAACTCTAAGAATTTCTCCAAAATGTCTTATTTAATATCTATCTTGCTTATTGGACTGTGAGCTTCATGATGGCAGGGGCTGGGCCTTTCTTACACATGCCCGCCACAGTACCTGGCACCTGGCAGATCTTTGATAAATGTGTGCTGAGTGGATGGATTGTCCTCTCCATTCTTGACATTACCTGCCAGGCTGACCCTTCATGCCCCAACCCGACAGCCCCTAGCACTGGTAGGTGCTGCTCTGGACAACTGACTAGGCCACGCCCTAGCCTGCCATGTAGCCCTAACTCTGGGGCTCACTCCCTCTCTGCCAACCCTCAATGTCCACACTCACCCTGGACCCTTGGACTTTCTCAGCCTCTTGAACCCCTCCCAGGCCTTGGTGCTCCCTAGACTTTGCTATCACCATCTCAGCTGAGAATGTTCTACCCCCAAACTTTCTCCCCTTCCCTCCTGAGAGGGACTGGAGACAAAAGTGAAGCTACTCAGTGAGCTTAATGGCAGACTGGACACAGTAGACTAAAGGAAAACAAGAGAAAAAAGGTGGGGGTGGAGGGAGAAGGGAACAGAGCATCTGGAATCTGTGCGACAATATTAAACGGTCTAACAAACATGTCATTGGGAGTCCTATCAGCCTGGCCTGATGAGATGAGACTTCCCATTCTCTTGTTCTGCGGCTATTTTACTCACGTTTTCTTCTTTTTCATTGTAAAAACAGTAACAAGGGTATCACAGAAAACACAAGGGTTGGGGTGGGAGAAAGAGAGCAATGGCAGGTATGAGTCTTAGAGGTTAAGACAATGTGCTTTAGGACACAATCTTGGACTGTGTCCCCACCTTGGTCACTTGCTAACTGTACGACCTTAGGCAAGTCATTTAATCTCTCTGTACCTCAGCATTCTCATCAGTACCTACACCTCGTGAGGACGCAGTGTTTGGGGCCCTGTACCCTACTTGTGCTGATGCCCATTTGTCCCCTTGAAATAATGCAAATAAAGAATCCAGTGAAGTTTGGCCATGCTAAGTGCTCAGTAAGAATTTTTATTCTTATTATAAAATATTGTTGTCTTACCACCACCATCATCCACGCTCTCACCATCACTTTTATTTATGCATGTTCCCTTCCAGACTTGATCTGTATGCATTTTTTTTACATTTTCACAATCATGGTGCATCATCATTGTGTATTCTGCATTTAAATTTATTCTTCAATATTTAGTTTCCCACGCTGCTACCAGATCTTTAACGACATCATTTTAAAGGGTTACACAACACCTCCCTGCATTTTTTTGTGTGTTTATTTCTGTTTGTTTTTTGTCCATCGTCCCTCCCCACCCCGGCTGCATTATTCAACCCAAGCTCCTTGTGTGGAAGGGACATGAAGGAGGTTCTCGTCAATCATTTACTCTTCCAGCTACACTTGGCTGTTTAACAGGTAACTCAGTAAGGAGTTGTACCCAGACTCTGTGCTAACTTGCCACAGGCTTTGGGCAAGTCACTTGCCCTCCCAGGGCTTCCGGGTTCCTTTTTATAAACAATGACAAGCTCTGCCCCAAGCACCTCACAGAGGCACAGCAGCACTACATAAACACACCCACCATCATTGCAATTTGTGAACTAGAAACAAAGACACTCAAACCTAAGTCCTCTCAGAGGCACAAAGCCTTAAAAACCTCCTGGGGAATGCCTGTGACAGTCATAATCTTCTGCCAGGGCACAGAGAAGGCACTTAAAAAATACCTGCTTAGGAGCAGCAGTGAAGATGGTGGGCTCCAGTGACTGAACAGGTAGGGCTCAGGGCCCCCCACCCAACTTCATCTATAGCAGTTCTGCATTTGCCCATCTTAAACTTTGGGCTCTCTTCAGAGAACCTCATAGGCACCAAATGGTAACTATTCATCTGAACACGCTCACTTTACAGATGGGAAAACCGAGGCCCCAAAGCTGAAGAGGTGTGCATAGAGCACCATTCTGGATGACCCCTGAGCCGTCTTTAGCCACGAAACCCCCCTGAAAGAGTACCTTCAAGGTCTGAAATAAGAAGGCATGCAGTTCCTTCAAGGTCTGAAATAAGAAGGCATGCAGTTCCTCAGGGGAGACTAAGTTTCACCTGGCACTCCATTCTGAAAATTAAAAAAAAAAAATTTCTGACTTCTCAAGTCCTTTGAAACATGATACTAACGTGAGGCCTGAACTCCACCCCAAGTGGCTAGGAGGTGCGCATGACAAGGTGAAGGTGAGAGGGGCTTCATGAACAGTAACAGGCAAGACAGGTAACTAATGCCCAGGAGCGCTCCATCCTGTCCTCCCTCCAGAGAAGGAAGCTCAGTACGGGAGAAAAGAAGTGGCCCCTGCCACTGAGCTCATTCCCTGGCAAATGCTTCCTGGAGGAAACAGTCTTACTGCTGCCTGTCACGATGGCTAATGCTAGCCTCATCTCAGCTAATTTAGCAGTGTGAGCGGAGGACACCACCCCTGTACCTGCTCTGCATCTCCAATGTACCAAGAGAACTGATACGACACAGAGGAATTGCTATTGATTTTCACTTGTGCAGGCTGACCTAACAAAACCAGTTCATCAACTGCCTGTCTGCCTTTCTGCTTTGGACGCTCATCCTAACCATGTGCTCATCCTAACCATGTGCAAATAAATTGCACTAGCACTGAGGGTGATTTGTCAGGGTCCAGCTGGGCTTGGGCCCTGGCTTTCGCTAATGGACTCCATGCCAGGCTGGGCTACGATCAGCCCAGCAGATGCCCCACTCTTGACGCCCCCCCACCCCCCATTGATTACTAATGTTCTAGATGGACACAGAATCAGGATAACTGGCAGCCGCTGCCATGCTAGGAACTGGCTGGCCATCCCCAGGAGGGAGTCTGAGGAGCCAGGCCCTTCAACAGGGCTTAGCAGTGTCATCCTGACTTGTTTCTTGAGGTCTCTGAGTCTTTGATTTTGGGGGGTTTACTAAGAGTACAACTGTGAGGCTGGAGGCCTGAGTTCTGTCTGGCGCTGGCTCTGCTGCTGACAAAGTGTCCTCGGGCCAGCTGTGAGGTGCAGCTGACACCAACTCCGGGGGTCTAGGACCCTAGACCCTGGGCAGACTAAGTGCCCAATGCCTGTTCTGCCACTTCTCTGCTGTGGCCTGGGACAGCCACCTTCAGCTCTCAGTGCCTCACTTTCTTCATCTATACAATGGGGTCAAAAACAGTGCCTACCTCCTTAGGTGGAAGTCATCAGGACTGACTGAGATAGTGGGAAAGACCACCTCCTTCAGCCCTTCATTTTGCGGCAGGGACTGGAGGTTCAGAGAAGGGCTGATGTCCTCAGGGTCACAGAGCAAGGCAGGAGCAATGCCAGGAGGGGTTAAAATGAGAGCAAGCACAAAAGGGCGATAAAAAGAATACCATGATTATCTCCTGATCACAGCTTCACTGAAGAACGGAATACAAGGGGAGTAGGTCACAGGCATATCACAGGTCATTGCTTGAAAGGTTCAAAAGCTTTACTTGCAGATCTTTTTTTGTTTTTGTTTTTTTAATATACAGGCTTCCTGCCATCCAGGGAATAAGGGAAGTGGTGTCTTGCTGCATGAGGTTTGGGGGTCTTGTCTTGGGGCTCCATCCCCATCCCTTTCCCACCTGCACATCTTGGGGAAGGCACCTGCTTGCTGGCCCATGGGTCCTTTGCTGTGGGATAAGGCACTGTGTGTTCAGCAAGAAGGCGCTCATGGCTGGCTGCTTGGTGGACAGTGAGGTGGCCTTCTCAGGGGCTGCAAAGCTGAGGCTGTTGAGGGGTGAAGCTGAACTTGGGGCCCCAGAGTGGGATGAATGGTGGGAGGCCCAGGCTATGGTACCGCAGCCTGCTGGGTCCAGTGTCACTGCTGCCCTGCTGGCCCTGGCGCAGTGTCCTCAGGATGGGATCATGCCTTTGCTTCTTTTACGGTCAGCCATGGTCCTCCGGTTGTGGTTGGCTCTTGCTGCCTTGTTGGCTTCCTTCTTCCTGCGTTCCTGGGTTGTCTCACGAGTCTGTCCATGGCCCCGGGGGCTGCCAGCCACTGCTGCTGAGCTGTCATGCCGGTACCTGAGTGAGGAACAACCCACCCTCAGGAGAACCCGTCAGTTGGAAGAGCCTCTGATGGGAGGCTCCCAGTGGGCCTCAGAGGTCACTGGGAGAACACACACAGGCTTGAGCCAGGAAACCCATGACCCCACTGCAGGGTGGGAGGAGAAATGGGGCCTGGCAGGGGCAGGGCTGTGGGGGCTCTGGCCAGCCCCGTGCTAGGTGTTTTCTCTTCTCTGGGCCTTGCCTCCACATGGGCCCATGACTAGGCTGTGTGGGAGGAAAAGCTAACAGGCTGATCTCCCCACACAAGGAGAGAAGGAGGGCTTGGGAACAAGTCACCTCCCTTATCCTGCCAGGCCCACCTGCTACAGATGAGACAATTACCCCAGCTCTACACTCCAGGGTCTCATCTGGTGGCCTTGAAAGACCTAGCAGACTCACAGACATGACCCAGGACCATTTCAGACCATCTCAACTGTTGGGATGTGCCTCCAGCTCCACGCTCAGGGGGTTGGGATGGATGAGGAGTCAGAGTTGCTATGCTCCCTGCTCAACAACCTTCTGTGGCTCCCCAATGCCTTCAAAATGAGATCCAAATGCCTTCCCTCCTTGGCGAGGCCCTCTGCACCCAGTAGGCAGTGCTGTGGGGGTCCCAGAGCCAGGGGACAACCTGGTTTGGCCTTAAGTGGAGGAGCGACCTCAGGCAGGCCTTTGGCCCCTCTGGACCATTTCCTCATGGGAAGGTGAAGGGGCTGGTCACAGGGGTTTCTGGTTACCCTCTCCCCAGCTGCCCCCAGCCATACCTGGAGACAACCCTCCCTTGCCATACCCTTACTTTCTTGCCTTTCTGTCCAGCTTGGGCTGTTTCCCCATCTCACATGACAAACACCTGCTTAAATGCCCCTGCCCCACCATGCCTCTCTGAGCCATAAAGGATGCATGTCTTGTCTGTCTGCCTGGGCTCTTTCACATTTCACACCAGTTAGCTACGGACATGTCAATCTCCACACTGGGTAAAACCCCTTACAGTGTCTGTCAAGACATGGTTACAACTGTGGACCCCAGAGATGGGTCATCTGGCTCAAATCTCACTCTACCTACCACCTACTAGCTGTGTAACCTTTGGCAGGTTCTGGGCCTCAGTTTCCTCATCTGTAAAATGAGGATAATGACAGTAGCTACATCATAGGGTTGTTGTGGAATCTAAATTAATATATACAAAGCACTTAGGCTGGGGTCTCCCAGTCATCACCTGGGCCTTCCCCAGCTGGGTCCCCTCCCACCAGAAACAGCCTCTTGAATGCTCACCCCCTCCTGGCGAGGAAGGCCATGCGCCTGGCTTCTGCCTTCTCCCTCAGCACTGCGGGGTCCTGCACGAAGTGGTCAGGCTGGGGAGGGAGGGAAGACGAAAACCGGAATCATGAGGCACCCCAATCCCTAAGCAGTGGTGAAGCTGTTCCCAGCTGGATCTTGTGACTGCTCCCTGCTAGGGGTGGGAGGAGGTGCAGCACAGCAGAGCGATGCCCCAGGCCGAGCTGGCTTGCTGCGGTCCAGGCTTTCATCAGGAGCCCCCAACTCCCACTGGCTGGGCTCAGTGGGACAGGCATGGTGGGGCAGGCATGCCACTGGTGGAGTAGGACGATGACAAATGGGAGGCACCGGGGTGGGGGGGAGCCAGGATGGCCACTGTGAAAGGTCAAGGAGGCTACGTCAGGCTTTGCATGCCAGGAGAGCCACCCCTGGAAGCTGGCTGTTCCCTGGGGAGCAGATGGCCTCACTCTGGCTCCACTATCCATGAGCTGGGGAAGAGCCCATCCTCGAAGACCATGCTTTTTGCCAAGAGTGAAAGGAGGCTGGACCAGTGCAGGGGAACAACTGTGACCTAAGGGCCACAGCCAAGCTGTGGTGACCCGCAGTATTTAAGAAACAAAATGGAATTAGCAACATTTGGAAACTGGAAGATTTCACATAAAAATCTGGGCTGTCCTTCCCTGGAAAGAAGGGAAGCCCCTGGGGACTGCAGGGCAGGCATTCTTGCTGAGGAGCTCCTCAGATAGGCCTGCTTGCCTCCCCTCCACCGTGCCCCACACTCATTTACAGGGTGGTCTAGCACCAGAAACATCTGATTTGTCACCCTGGTGACATAAGGGCCTGGGAGGCACAGGTGGTGGAGTTCTAGGCAGCCACTCTGTTCAACCAGGATAGCGCTGCCTTCACCTGTTTTATATATTGAGGTTCTAGTTAAGATAGATTTGATGCATTGAACACTAATGACCAAAGCTGAGACGAGTTGTGGAATGATATCAAGGACATGATACATGAAGAAAGCAAGAGGTCATTAAAAAGACAAGAAAGAAAGAAAACACCAAAATGGATATCAGAAGAGACTCTGAAAGTTGCTCTTGAACGTTAAGTCACTAAAGGGAAAGGAAGAAATGATGAAGTAAAAGAGCTGAACAGAAGATTTTAAAGGGTAGCTTGAGAAGACAAAGTCAAGTATTATAATATGTGCAAAGACCTGGAATTAGAAAACCAAAAAGGAGGAACACGCTCAGCATTTCTCAAGCTGAAAGAAACGAAGAAAAAATTCAAGCATCGTGTTGCAATAGTGAAGGATTCTATGGACAAAATACTGAGCAACACAGGAAGCGTAAAAAGAAGATGGAAGAACACACACAGTCACTGTACCAGAAAGAACTGGTCGACGTTCAGTCATTTCAGGAGGTAGCAGATGATTGAGAACCAATGGTACTGAAGTAAGAAGTCCAAGCTGCACTGAAGACACCAGTGAAAAACAAGGCTCCAGGAATTGATGGAATATCAACTGAGATGTTTCAACAAACAGATGCAGCACTGGAAGTACTCACTCACTTATGCCAAGAAATTTGGAAGACAGCTACCTGGCCAACCGACTGGAAGAGATCCATACTTATGCCCATTCCAAAGAAAAGGTGACCCAATCAAATGCAGAAATTATTGAACAATATCATTAATATCACACGCAAGTAAAATTTTGCTGAAGATCATTCAAAGGTGGTTGCAGCAGTATATCAACAAGAAACTGCCAAAAATCCAAGCCAGATTCAGAAGAGGACATGGAATGAGGGATATCACTGCTGATATCAGATGGATCCTGGCTAAAAGCAGAGAATACCAGAAAGATGTTTACCTGTGTTTTATTGACTATGCAAAGACATCTGACTGTGTGGATCATAACAAATTATGGATGATACTGTGAAGAATGGGAATTCCAGAACACGTAATTGTACTTACAAGGAACCTGTACATAGATCAAGAGGCAGTCATTCGAACAGAACAAGGGGATACTGCGTGGTTTAAAGTAAGGAAAGGTGTGTGTCAGGGTTGTATCCTTTCACCATACCTATTCCATCTGTACACTGAGGCAATAATCCGAGAAGCTGGACTATATGAAGAAGAACAGGGCAACAGGATTGGAGGAAGACTTGTTAACAACCTGCGTTATTGCAAATGACACAACCTCGCTTGCTGAAAGCGAAGAGGACTTGAGGCACTTACTGATGAAGATCAAAGACTACAGCCTTTAGTGCGGATTATACCTCAACATAAAGAAAACAAAAATCCTCACAACTGGACCAATAAGCAACATCATGATAAAGGGAAAAAAGATTGAAGTTGTCAAGGACTTCATTTTACTTGGATCCACAATCAGTACCCATGGAAGCAGCAGTCAAGATATCAAATGACCCACTGCATTGGGTAAATCTGCTGCAAAAGACCTCTTTAAAGTGTTAAAAAGCAAAGATGTCACTCCGAGGACTAAGGTGTACCTGACCCAAGCCACGGTGTTTTCAGTTGCCTCATATGCATGTGAAAGCTGGACAATGAATAAGGAAGACTGAAGAAGAACTGACACCTTTGAATTACGGTGTTGACGAAGAATACCGAATATACCATGGACTGCCAAAAGAATGGACAAATCCGTTTTTGAAGAAGTACAGCCACAATGCTCTTTAGAAGCAAGGATGGAGAGACTTCGTCTCACATACTTTAGACATGTTTTCAAGAGGGACCAGTTCCTGGAGAAGGACATCATGCTTGGTAAAGTAGAGGATCAATGAAAAAGAGGAAAACCCTCAACAAGATGGACTGTCACAATGGCTGCAACAACAGGCTCAAGCATAACAACAATCATGAGGACGGTGCAGGACCAGACAGTGTTTCGTTCTGTTGTACACAGTCACTATAAGTCAGAAGCAACTTGACGGCACCTCACAACAACAAAAAGTTAAGATTTCGTTTGAAGGAAAAGTTCAGCTGCTAAAAACTAGAATTTTCAAACTCACTGGCCCAGGTGACCTCCAAGGGCACTAGGCTTTAACTCCTCTCTGATTTTCAGAATTGCCGTGCAGGGCACCGCGGCTGACAGCTGCCCCTCTCCTGGCCCCCAGGCTACTGGGCCTAATGAACTCGACAGTTCAAAGGCTCAGCCGCTAATCTGTCCCCTGGGTCCTCATGAGTGGCAGAGGTGAGCTGTAAGCCAGCGGCTCTCCTAGCAGACAGCCTGGGCCTGAAAGGACCCCTTCTCCCTTGGGCCGTGATGCTGGGGTGGCTTGAGGCCAGACGCAGGACAGGGGGGTCATAGAGCTCCTGATTCACCCTTCAGAATTGCACCCTCCCCATTATCTGCCACCCGCCAAGGAGATACCTTGGGGGCTCCCTCTTCAGCCTCCTCCTCCTCCTCCTCCTCCTCGTCGTCCTCCTGTCCTTCCCCGGACACTCTGGTTCTCAGTACCTGAGGGGTGGTGAAAGGCCTGAGGGTGGAGAGAGAAAGTGAGCTCCAAGAGTAGGGTTGAACCTGGAAAGAGTGCTTCAGGGAGGAGGGAATCCTGCTTGGGGAGAGGAGACAGCTCAGGAGGCAGGCACAAGCCAAGGCAATGTGAGAGCTATTCTTGCCAGCTCTGCTCAAGCCCCAGGACTCTTTGAGAGGACCAGGGCCAGATGTAGAAGCCTTATTGTCATCTGAGTTGGGGCTGTTGGGATCTCCAGTCCTCCCTTTAGCCAGAGCAGCCTTATTTTTAACTGTATTAGGAGTCTTCATAAGATTCCACCAGGAAAAGTTTTCTGTGATTAAAAACTACTGCGTGAGACCAAATAAATGCTGTCCCACTCAGGCTGGGCCAGGCCAACCAGCAAGGGAGAAGGCAGGCTACGGGCTGGAGGGAACACTGGAAGACGAGTCAGGCAGCCTGGGCATGTGCCCTGGTTCTGCCACGGACTGGCTCACATGATAAGGGCCTCGGTTTCCTCACCTGTACAAGCACGAGGCCACAAGAGAGCCTCAGAGGCCAGAGAGCCACTGTGCACGTCGAATTCCACCCACCACCTGGCCTCACCTGCGGCTGATGAGCTCGTCATCCGAGTCGACATCGTTGGCGCCAACCTGGTTGTCATCGTACGTGTCATCATACTCGTCCTCGTAGTCGTCACCATGATAGGGCAGGCCTTCCCCAGGCTGCAGCGGCACCTGTGATGGCAGAAGCGTGGGCCGGAATGCCCCAAGGGCTGGCTAGCTCTCCTTCCCCCAGCACGGGTCACATCCTGGGGGCTGCCTACCTCCTCCACCACCACGCTGTACTGCTCGTAGCGCTGCCGCTGCGCTGTCACCGCTCGCTTGTCATTCAGCAGACTCCGTGTGTTCTCCTCTTTCCTGGTGCCCGAGAGACAGAAACAGGGGCGACAGGAAGAAAAACCATCAGGGTCTGAAGGTTGTGGGGTGTGGAGGATCCAGGGAGCTATGGGCTCATTTCTCCAACCCTCAGACTGGTGCAAACTAAGACAACTGATGTTACCAAGCACTGGTGAGGGTGTGGGGGGACGGGCTGCTCACTTGCTGCTAAAAACACACAAAAAAAACCCAAACTCATGGCCGATGAGTCGATTCCGACTCATAGCGACCTGACAGGATAGAGGAGAATTGCCCCACAGGGTTTCTGAGGAGCAGCTGGTAGATTCGAACTGCCGACCTTTTGATTAGCAGCCGAGCTCTTAACCACTACACCACCAGGGCTCCTCACTTGTGCACATGTAAACGGCTCCAGCCACGTTGGAGGGCATCCCAAGAGTAGCTATTAAAATATAAAACGTACACACCCTTCAACCAGGCCATTGCCCTTCAGGAAACACTGGCCAAGTGCACAAAGAGGTCTGATTTTCTTTCCAGCATTGTTTGTAACAGTGAAAAATGGAAAACCAGATAATGTCCATTATGAGTGGAATGGCCAAACGAACTATGCTACATCTGTATTACAGAACATCGTGAGTTCTGTAATACAGATTTCCAAGAATGACAGTGATCTATTTGGACTGACAGGGAAAGAATTTTAAGGCTTATTACTGATGAAAAAAGCTGCAGAAAAATGCATACAGTATGATCCTATCTGTATAAAAAACAAAAAGCAAACCAAACCAACTCTGTTTCCATGGCACATATGTTGTTGTTAGCTGCTGATGAGTAGGCTCCAACTCATGGTGACCCCATGTACGACAGAACAAAACACTGCCCACTCCTGTGCCATCATCACAATCATTGATATGCTCAAGGCCATTGTTGAGGCCACTGTGTATTTTGAGTGTCTTCCAACTTAGGGGGCTCATTTTCCAACACTACATCCGACAACATTCTGTTGTGATCCATAGGGTTTTCACTGGCAAATTTTTCGAAGTAGACTGCCAGGCCTTTCTTTCTACTGTGCCTTAGTCTGGAAGCTCTGCTGAAACCTGTCCACCTGGGCGACCGGGCTGGTATTTGAAATACTAGTGGCATAGCTTCCAGAATCACAGCAACATGCAAGCCACCACAGTACAACAGACAGGAGGTGGACACATATATATGTATGAAAATGCACACAGAGGGCTAGTGAGCCCCACACCAAATGACAATGGTAACTCCAAGGAAGGGCCTGAGGTTGTTTGAATCTTCTAAAAACACAAATTTAAGTGGGCTCTGGCCTCTTCTCTCACCCACACAGGGGCCTTCTATCCGTCTTATAGTTGGAGCTTCCATGTAAAATTTCACCAGAAGCAAAAGTTGGAAAGTCCAACTCCCAACATGATACAGGTGAGGAAATTCGGGTGCAGTGGAGGGGAGAGGAGGGCCATGCTTGGGACCACAGGGAATGTGCAGCAGAGCTATGGTAGGGACGTGGGTCTCCAGACTCATGGCTTTTCAAACCTGTAGAAAAACCTAGTTTGTCAGACACATCCACAAGCCTATGGAATGCAGCTTCTAGCCCTACAGAGGAAATCATTGAGATGCCAGGCAAGAAAAGTTAGCTGAGTTGTGAAATCAGGTCCCTGGAATGTACTGAGGCGGAGGGAGAAGAAGAAACACAAAGCCCACATCATCCTACACAGCTTCCATAAAATCTTCTATTAACTGGCTTTTGGTGCTGGGAGGGGCAGGCATCCGAGTCGGCTAGGCTGGCTGTGGCCTGTGGCCGGTCAGGACTACAGCCCCCAGTACAGCATGTTAAGACTGGCTCCCTTCAACAAGTCTTTATTAAGGGCTACCATGTGCCATGCAGAGGACTGAGGCTGAGGTAGGGGGAGATTGGCCCTCATGGAACTCACAGTCTAGTGGGGGTGACAGATAGGCAAATGGCAGCCAACTGTAGGCAGGACACATAAAATGTGCTGAACAGAGGCATACGTGCCTGGAGACAGGGAGACACAGAGGAAGAGAAACGAGTTCTGGCTCAGGGGGCCAGCAGGGGGCCTGGGAGAGGGATAAGGGAAGGAAACCTTCCCCAGTGGAAAGTGGGATGGTGTTGCTCTGGGCCAGGGAAAAACCTTGGTCCACAGGAGTCTTCGTATCACCAGAAAGAGGACTGTGACTGGCCTCTGCACTGTACCTGGCTCTCTTTGGCAGGTTGGGTGCTGGAGAGGAAAAAGATGGGCAGGAAGTGAAAGGGGCCCAAGCTTACCCAGGTGGTTGGTGACACCACGAGGAGTGTGTCTACTCATTGAACACTCATGTCCTGGGGGTCTACCAGGTGCCCTATGCTGGACCAGAGGACCAAGGATGAATGAGTGGTGTCACCATACTTTCTTTTCTGATTTTTAATTGTGCTTTAAGTGAAAGTTTACAGTTCAAGTTAGTCTCTCATACAAAAATTTATACACACATTGCTCTGTGACCCTAGATGCTCTCCCTATACTGTGACAGCACACTCCTCCTTTCCACCCTAGATTTCCCGTGTCTATTCAACCAGCTCCTGATCCTCTCTGCCTTCTCACCTCGCCTGCAAACAGGAGCTGCCCATTTAGTCTCATGTATCTACTTGAGCTAAGAAGCACTCTCTTCACGAGTATTATTTTATGTCCCATAGTCCAGTCTAATCTTTGTCTGAAGAGTTGGCTTTGGGAATGGTTTTGGTTCTGGGCTAACGGAGAGTCTCGGGGCCATATCTTCTGGGGTCCCTCCAGTCTCAGTCAGACCATTAAGTCTGATCTTTTTACTAGAATTTAAGTTCTGTACCCCACTTTTCTCCTGCCCCATTAGGGACTTTCTGTTGTGTTCCCTGTCAGGGCAGCCAGGCACCATCTAGTTCTTCTGGTCTCAGGCTGATGCAGTCTCTGGTTTATGTGGCCCTTTCTGTCTCTTGGGCTAATACTTTCCTTGTGTCTTTGGTGTGCTTCATTCTCCTTTACTCCAGGTAGGTTGGGACCAATTGATGTATCTTAGATAGCTGCTCGTTGGCTTTTAAGACCCCAGATGCCACTCACCGAAGTGCGACGCAGAACATTTTCTTAACAAACTTTGTTATGCCAATTGACCTAGATGTCCCCTGAAACCGCGGTCCCCAGACCCCTGCCGCTGCTTCTCTGTCCCTCAAAGTGCTCGGTTGTATTCAGGAAACTTCTTAGCTTTTGGGTTAGTCCAGTTGTGCTGACTTCCCCTGTAGCGTGTGCTGTCCTTCCCTTCACTGAAGCTAATTCTTATCTAATATCTAGTTAGCGAATACCCCTCTCCCTCTCTCCTCACCCTTGTAACCATAGAATATTTTCTTCTGTGTTTAAACCATTTCTTAAGTTCTTATAATAGTGGTCTCATACAATATTTGTCCTTTTGCGACTAATTTCACTCAGCATAATGCCTTCCAGATTCATCCACGTTATGAGATGTTTTGCAGATTCATTGTTGTTATTTATTGTTGTGTAGTATTCCACTGTGTGACTATACCGTAATTTGTTTATCCATTCCTTCATTGATGGGCACCCGGGTTGTTTCCATCTTTTTGCTATTGTGAAGAGTACCGCAATGAACATGGGTGTGCATGTATCTATTCATGATGGCTCTTATTTCTCTAGGATATATTCCCAGGAGTGGGATTGTTGGATTGTATGGTACTTCTAGCTTTTTAAGGAAGCGCCAAATCACTTTCCAAAATGGTTGTACCATTTTACATTCCCACCAACAGTGTGTAAGTGTTCCAGTCTCTCCACAACCTCTCCAGCATTTATTATTTTGTGTTTTTTGGATTAATGCTAGCCTTGTTGGGGTGAGATGGTATCTCATTGTAGTTTTGATTCGCCATTTCTCTAATGGCTAATGATTATGAGCATTTCCTTGTGGATCTGTTAGCCGCCCTAAATGTCTTCTTTGGTGAAGTGCCTGTTCATATCCTTTGCCCATTTTTTAATTGGGCTATTTGTCTTTTTGTTGTTGAGGTTTTGCAGCATCTTATACATTTTAGAGATTAGACGCTGATCGGATTTGTCGTAGCCAAAAATTTTTTCCCAGTCTGTAGGCTGTCTTTTGACTCTTTTGGTGAAGTCTTTTGATGAGCATAAGTGTTTGATTTTTAGGAGCTCCCAGTCTTCTAGTTTCTCTTCTGGTGTTTGTGCATTGTTAGTAACGTTTTGTATTCTGTTTACGCCACGTATTAGGGCTCCTAGCGTTGTCCCTATTTTTTCTTCCATGATCTTTATTGTTTCAGATTTTATATTTAGATCTTTGATCCATTTTGAGTTAGTTTTTGTACATGATGTGAGGTATGGGTCTTGTTTCATTTTTTTTGCAGATGTCACCATCGTTTCTGCTACACCTTATGGCCCCTGGTCCACTCCGTCCCTGGCTCTGGGCAGCAGGACGGTTCTCACTATGTGGATTCTGGATACCTGGCTCCCTGGCAGGATGACAGAGAAGCGTGGCAAACTCAACCCACCCCAGGAGGGCCCTGTGAGGCCACAGGTGGGAAGAGTGGAGCCCAGTGCCCTGGGCAGCCCATCCAGTGAGGTACAGTTTTGGCCCCATGACCTCATTTGGAGGCAGGAAGGAAAAGGAGAATCAGGGACAAAATCAGGCACAGATGAGGAAAAGGTCCACTGGTGGGCCAGAACTTTAGTTAAGTCTGGAAGCGTTGACAACAGTGGCTTTGGAGACCGTCTTTTGGGTAGGAGGAGTCCTCGGCCTCCTACAAGATGGTGGTGGCCCAGGAACACAAGGGCTCTCCTCTTTACTTCCTCTAGCCTGTCCTTCGAGGCCCAACTTAAACTGGCCCTCAGGGGTGACTCCTGCCTTTGAACTTCTAAAGGGCCTGCAGAGTCACAGACTCTCAATCCCTCCTTTTCCAGGTGAGGACTCAGGAGATCCAGAGAGACAGAGCAACTTTCCCAAGGTCACACAGCTGCTAACAGCAGAGCCAGGCCAGAACACAGGTCTCCTGACTCAAGGCTTTGCTCTGCCACTTCCTGAGCCATGTGATCACGGGCAAGAGTCTTATCCTCACCAGGTTCCTCCTCCCAGCACCTGCCTCCCAGGGTTGACATGAAGATGAAATAAGATGATGTATAGAAGTGGACCTGGTACCTGTTGGGCTCAATAAAACGAATCTGGTTTCTTTCACTGCAGAACTTGCCAGAGCCTTTAATGTATTAATGTGTTCTGACTTTCAAGAGGCAGACAGACTACACAGACTTCTTCAGCCATAAAATATTTTTCTGGAAGGAACGTTTGTTATCATCTTCTGGGGCACAACTTTTCAGTCCAAAGGGGTTAGGAGAACCCCATCTTATGCATTCCTCCTCCATTTGGCCAAGCTATCCTGCAGCACACATGTGCTTTGTGTCTACCTCACAGCCATCCACCACCAAATGTCCCCTCCTAATAGACCCTCACTTTGTTCAGCTCTCTGTATCCACTCATCCCTCTCATACCAGAGCCCTGGGCCTCAGTCCTGTGACCTGGTTATACCAATGGGATGTGAGGAGAATCTTTCCTTTTGGAAAGGTTTCCTGGTTTCTAAGAGAGCTACAGAAAGACCTGTTCCAGACTTCCTCTCGACACTGTTGTTTCTGGAGGTGATACCTGAAACAGCGGCAGCCACTCTGTGGCCTGAGGCATCAAGAGATGGAAAGACACGGCATCCTTGATGATGTGTCTGTACCCCTAGGTTAACCAAGTCTAAACCTGCACTACCTTGCCAACTACTTGTCATGTGAGGGAACAGATTTCCTTACTACTTAAGCCACTGAGCACACTTTTCAGTTACCTGAAGCTGAAAACATCCTCTCTGATTTAACATGTGCATATTTTAACTGAGGTGTGGTTGGCCTGAGCTATTTAATCTCATATGCTCCTGACAGCAGGGAGCACCTGCAATCTCCCCAAATTAGGACAGCTGCACCCACCAGGCGTCCCCCATCCCACCTCCTTGTTTAATGATTCTGTCATGCTTGTTTAACGTTCTAAGTCTTTCCCATAGTCTCCAGCCTTTTGAGGGCGAGGCCTGGGTGCCATGTCTACCCTTGTCTCCCTGGTGTTTAGCACAGGATCAGCGCTAGTAAATTGCTGAATAAATATTTGGTGAATGAATACATAAATAATGAACACATGAATGAAAGCTTTGCCTCTTCACAATCCCTACCCTGGGGTCACCGAGCACAATGAGTTCAGCAAACACTGCTGCCTGATCTCTCAGCCTGGCAGCCCGAACCAGTCCAGGAGCAGGGTTGCAGCCCCCCCTGAGCACTGGCCGCCTCAGTGCCAGCCCCTTTGCTGACCTTAACTACTGAAATTGGCCCCCTGCAGATGCTCTTGGGTGACCCGAGACTGGGTAGGGTGAAGCACAATCTCAGGACACCATGGGTCCCAGGCAAACCCACCGACCAAAGTCAAGGGGAAAGGTCGACGCCAGAGATGCCTGAGCTTGGGGGGACCTAGCAATCAGGCTCCCTGGGTCAGAGCTGGGGGCCAGCCCTCTACCAGCCTGGGGACACCCCGTCTGCCCACTCCCCACAGCAGGAGCCTCCCAGGGGTCATGCTGTCTGGAGCAGCAGCCACCAATGCAGGATAACATCTCATGGGCTGGGAGCTGAGATGTTGCAATGTATGTGACTAAGCAGATTGTGACTGCTTCCTGTCTAACCAAACTGTCCTGGGCCTGCTCCCTAAGATCTCAGCCAGCCAAGCTTCCTGCATCGGATGGCCCTGGAGAGGATGGATAGCACGGGGTTCCCACTGAAGCAGCCTGTGTCTCTGCCACTGGGGAGCCTACCACAAGAGCAGGGAAAGTCCCCTCCCGTCTCTGAACCTCAATGTCCCCATTTATATGATGGGGGAAAGGGCAGGCTGCACTTGTGCAGTGGTTCCCAGATTTCTGGATTCCATGAACTAACACATTTCAGGAGAAACTAGAGGACAGGCATAGTGTTGCCAATTTTTTACTTTCTCATTCTCTATTATATTGTGCACTTTACCATCACCACTGACACCGGGTCCCCTCCAGTCAGTTCTCCATTCAAGAGCAGAGTGATCATCTCAAAATATAAAAGGTGTCAGCTCCTGGGACCACTGCCATGCTTCCTATAGTCTCAAGGCCACTACCCCTGCCACTGACCCTGCTTAGAAAGTTTCTCCTTTCCTACTTGGAAACCAATCCCTCCTCACCCCTCAGCCCTCAGTCAAGTGTCCTTTACTCAGAGGACCTTTCTGCCTGGTTGAAGCCCCTGCTGGAGGCTCCGAACCCCACACACCTCCAGCTCATAGTACTTATTATATTTGCAGTTTTACGTAGCTTGTTTGATGAGTTGATTAGTGCAAACTCCACGTGGGCAGGGGCCATGTCCGTTTTGCTCCCCACTACATCCTCAGCACCTAATCCAGGCCGAATGTTGTAAGCACCGGGCAAATATTTGTTGAATAAATGAATAGACTTTTCAATGCCAAAAAAGTAGGAAAGGCATAAACCAAAAATAAATAGGAAGGCCTTCAAATGGAATAGTCACCTTCTGAAGTGCTCCCTCAGTACAGGTCCTTATTTTTCTCTTTTTGCCAGACTAGGGAAAATCAGGTCAAGGACCAGCTTTTGGGAAGCATGGCCCAGGCTCCACCATCCGGTGATTCGATGGTTCGGACATCAAATAATTCAGACACAGCAGAAGGGGGCAGTTTCAGCTCCTCTGGCTTTTTGCTATCAATAAGCAGCAGTCACTGAAAACCTCCCTAACAGAGCCCGAGCCCAAAGCATAACCATTAAAGAACCCACCCCGCCTGCTGGGAGCCACCAGGTTCAGGGCTGTGAAGGGACCCCTGATCTCAGCCTCCATGGCCAGTTCCTTAACACAGTAGGCCCTTCTGTTTCTCCCGCTTTCTGTATGCACTCTGCAGCCCACTCCACTCACCTCTTGCCCTTATGCACCCGGCTCAGGTCCACTGAGTTCCTGCTGAACACATCAAACTCATCATTCTGGAAGATGTTGTGACGAGACGTCAACAGGGGCGTTGGGTCTGGCTTCGCCTGTCTAGGGGCAGCATGAAAATCAATTTAAGGGGGCTGGGCCAGTAGATACCCACCTGTGACCCACTTCCCCCGACCACTTCATGTCCATCAGATCCTTCACCCCTTTTCAATAGCCACGCCTAGGATACAATCTCAACAGCTTTCAGGGAGAGGCAGACCTGCTCCATCTGGCCCCTGCCTGGGTATGCAGCCACCCCTTAGCAAAGCTCCTCTCGTTCCTGAGGTGTCAGTCACACAAGTTTTCTTTCTGTGTCTTAAAAGCTCCCTCATTTAATGCTTAGGACAGCTCTATGAGATTGGTACCCATTAATCACTTAGCCTCTTCATACATTAGTGTTCTCATCTATAAAACGTGGCACAAAGTGGCCAAGAAGCTTGCCCAAAAGGACACAGCTAGCTTCAGTCATTCATTCAATAAATATCACCTGTTCATGGAAGAAATACCTATTCATTCCCTCATTTCTGCTGCTCCACAGGGTCTTTGGGAAAGCAGTGGGCCAAACTCAGAAAGGGCCGGTGTGAAGGAAGTGAGCAGCTTGGCCGTCCTCCCTCAGGAATCTACTGGGAAGGTGGTGATGTCAGGGGCTGGCCGAGAACTTAGTAACTCGAAGGTGCTCATCAACTCTTCATCACGTGCCGTGTCCCTAATGGGTCTTCCCACAGGTGCAGCAGGGATGCGCACTATGCACTCACTCTCTGCCCTGCAGGGACATGTGAGAACCTCCTGAGGGCCTAAGATCCGTATGTTTCCCAAAGAGGGCAGTTAAACAGCTGGGAAACACCCCTGTGGGGAAGGGAAAGCAAGCTGAGTCCTTGGACATGAACGATATAAGTGGGAAGTTGAGTTTTTGAGAAGGGGCACCAGATGAGGGCCCTGAGGTAGCCTGGGCGCGCCACACCTCCTCCCACCTGTCTGTCCCACCTGTCTAGGCTGCGGTCCAGCTGGCTGAGGGCCGGAGCCAGTCGCTCCTCCAGGATGTTGTTGATCACCTGCTCCGGGTCATAGCTGTAGTGTGCCAGGCAGGCCAGGATGAAGCCCTCACCAAGGTCTGGGAGCAGGTCCTTCACTTGGGAGATGAGCGAGTCCAGCTCTACTCCGGACACAGAGGGGACCAGGGCAGCAGCTGCCCCCATGCACTGCAGGAAGAGGCAGAGAGAAGGACAGGAAGGGGATGTCTTCCTTGGCTAAGCCAGGAGGTGACAGGGTAACAGGCCATAGGTAGAGAGGAAACAGCGCTGGACTTGAGTCAGGGGCCCTGGCTTGAGTCCCAGCCCTGCCCCTGTGCGACTTCAGCCAGCTGACTCCAGTCTCTCTGAGCCTCCATTTCCTCCTCTGTGAAAAAGGGGGCTTTAGGCTTTATCTCCAGGCTACTTCCGGCTGTGGGACTTTGAACAAGTTGCTTCCCGTCTGAGTCTCAGTTTCCTCCTTTAGGGAACGAGCTGACCACCACCCACCCACCTCAGGGGGTTGTTTCAGGTGGTTCAAAGAGGGGATGCACGCAAAGTGATGAGCCTGTGTCAGCGCTGATGAGGCACTCAGTAAACAGCCACAGTTCCTACTGATAGTGAAGGTTCCTACTGACAGTGAAAGGTCCTTTTCCAGCCCTCACAAATTTAGGACTGACGCCAGGGGGACACAGCAACCGCCACACCTGGACTGTGTAGAGATGATCCCCCTTGCATTATAGTCTTTTCAATAAGGGTGATTCACTTTATATACTACTCCATGTGGCTTGACTTTGTTAGGCCTTTTAGTTAAGGAAATTCACAAATCAAACACGTAATAAAAACCTTCCATGACTCAGAAGAAGGCAAAGGCAGTGGGCGCTGTCATCCTTCAAGGCCTTGTAGTCTAAGAGGAAGACCATAGCGTCTGTGAACGGAGCACCAACACCAGCCAGTACTCAGAGCTCTCCATGTGGCAGCTCTGGAAATCCCAACAGCAACCGTGCTGTTCCCACCATACAGATGAGAAACCAAGGCTCAGAGTGAGTGATGTCTCCAAGGTCACAGAGCTAGTGAATGACAGGGCCAAAATACACCCGAGCTGCCTGACCCTAGGGGCTATGTGGTTTAACCTGCCTCCCAACACACAGGAAGAATCCTGGGCTTGATGGCCAGTTCTGGAAAAGCCTGAGAGAAAGTACTAGACCCCAGGTTTCCAGACTTGTTTAGTGGAGCCCTGCAGTTCCATGGAGGGTCTCCCAGAGAGGCCAAGCAGTAGGATCAGGAACTGCTCCCAACCACAACCAAAGCAGCCCCGTTTCTGTTTAGAGGTGGCTCTGTAAAGATTTCACATGAAAGCTTCACCTCTTCACTCTAAAGAGAGAAAACTGAGCCTTTGACAGCTGAAATGACTTCCTGTCTCCTTGCACCCAGTCCCACTCCAGGCTAAGGGCAGCAGAGAGCTGATCAGCAGCTCGAAGCTGTCAATTCCAAAAGGAACCTTTTTCCCTGAGTGCAGAAACAAAGAATGGAGGTTTCCCGGCTGCCCTGACCTGTCAGATGGGGACTGGAGGGCAGGGGCAGCAGGGGACAGCCCTGCCCTGGACACACACCTCCTCATCCTCCGAGTTCTCTGGGTGTGATGGTGTTTGACTGACTGGCTCCACTGTCGCCGCAACCTTGTTAGGATCCTCAGCCACCAGTGGGTCTTTAGCCTCCGTGGCTTTCTGTCTGTCCACCCCTTCCCATGCACTCTCGACTGCCTGGAGGATATAGGCAGTGCGTGTCTCGTCGCTAGGAGGACGTTAAGGGTTTTTCTCTCTCTCAGGTCCCACAGCCTTCTCCACCTCTCCAGCTCTGAGGCAGTGGAACTCTCAGTCTCTCCCCAGCATGTGACTGCATGGTTTCTGCCAGGGGCTTCTGGGCTGCACCCAGTGGACGAAGGGGGCACCTGGGTCGCGTGGGGAAAGAGGACAGACGTGGCCACACTGGCCTTGCAACCTAGCACCTGCCATTCAGCAGAAAGAAGCTCTGGGCCGAGGGCTGGCATCAGAGTGTCCTGGGATGTGCCAGTGGTTCTTCCCTCTGTACTGACCACCAGGAGGGCCCAACAGGGTCACCGCCGCTGCACCTCCTGTTCAACCTGCTGTGGGCTTTCTGCAAAGGCTGGAGGCCCACAAGGTTTCCCTGAGGCAGGACTGAGCAACCCACCCCAGCCACCAAAATGGCCCACGGGCCTGCTCTCCCCCGTTCCTCCTCTCTGTCTACCACTCTGGGCAATGCCAAGCCAGAAACCGAGGAGTTGCCCTAGACTCCCTCACTGCACTTCCAGTCCAAAGCCCCATCATCCTGGCCTGGATGTCAGCAACAACCTCCTCACCAGCCCCTGAGCCTCCATGGTGACCCCAGGCCAGTTCATGCTCCTTCTGTGGTCAGACAGAGCTTGTCACTCTTTGCTTCACATCCTTCCACAGCACCCCAGAGACTGCAGGACAGAGCCCGAACTTCTCAGTGAGGGTCACCACAGGGCTGTGCGGGCCCACCTCCCTCCAGCTCATCTGCCACACTCTGACCCCCTCCCCTCCCCTCTCCCACGGCCCAACCCCATGCTCTACACTTGTATGTGGGCTCTTCCAATGAGCCTGCTCTCTGTCCTCTGAACTTTCATACTGGGAATGCTCTTGTCCTTGGTCTTAGCTCCTGTTCCTTCTGCTGTTCTCAGCTTGGCCATCATTTGCATCTGACAGCCCATCATAAGTGCCGCTGAGATAGGTACCTCCTCTCGTCTCTGTACCCTCTGAATTCTCCCACCATGGCGCTCTCTATCTAACTGCCTGTTTACTTGTCCGTCTGCCCTCTGGAGTGATGTCTGTGAGGGCAAGGGCTGAGCCCATCTTGGTCACACAGGCACAGACACAACACCCAGTAAACACTAGAGGAAGTATGACTGGACCTCCCCTGCCTTGAGAATCAGGGCAGTCATCTCCAGAAAAACAGAGGCTGGGGCCTTGGCGTGCCTCCCAGGAAAGCTGGCTGATCTGTGTGTTCTTGGGCTAAACCTCCCTCCCCACTCCTCCAGGACCCAGCAGTCCATCCCTGACCTGGCCAGGCCAGGCTCCTTTCCAGAGGCAGTGGTTGAAGGATACAAGACAGATGAAGCCTGCTGCAGCAAGCTGACATCATCGGCCACAGGGAAGAGCACATCATAGTCCCGGAGGAACCTGCCAGGTAGAGCGCAAATGGGAGGGAAAGGGCTGGGGCCACAGGAGCACTGCTGTAGGCCACTCCCTGTCTCTGCTGCCCAACTACAAATCCCAGATGTCAGCAGGTGCCCACCTTAGAACCATGGAGGGCTTCTAGCAGGGGCTCAACTAGATAAGGTCTGGTGGGAACTGGTGGGGAGGGCCACAGGCTGTCCCCCAGCTCAGCCACACTCACCTCTTCTCCTGCAGCAAGGAGCTAAAGATCTGAAGGAACTCCTCGATGAAACCCTGAATGTTGTCACAGCTGGAACAGGATACCAGGGAAGATTAGATCACTCAATGCAAGACAATCTGCACCATCCTCCCAACCCCACCCCTCCCCAGTTAAAGGAAAGACACATCTTTCTCAGTCTCCCATCTCTGCTCAGCCAGCCCTAGAGGCAGAGGGGAGGCAGAGCTGATGTGGTGGAAATGCTCCTGGTGAGCTTGGGAAGAGGGTTCTCTCACCAGAGAGGCAGCACCCCAGGGCTTACCTGCTTTCCAGGATGGGAAGAAGGCAGATCTGGTTCATGAGGATATGAATAATCTCCACCAGCTTCTTCCTGGAATGGGAGAGCCTCTTCCACAGGTCACCTAGCAGCCTTTCAAGGTCAGCGAAAAACAAGAAACAGGGATTTGGGAGACAAAAAGGCACCAAGAAAGCTTATTCTCAGCAGTTGCAGGTGCCCCTCCACCGAGATGAGAAGGCCTCACAGTTTACTGCTGAGAGCAGCTGGCAAAAGGCTGCAGGCCCTGAGTGGCCAGCTGGTTCCAGAGCCGCTTCTCAGATCCAACAGTGAGTTAGGAACCAGAGGGCCATTTAACAAAAGCTTGGAGAAATAGCTGATGGGGAGGGCTCTGGTGCCGGGGCCAGAAGGCTGCTAGGGAGGATGTACAAGGCCTGCAGCTGCACGGTCCTCGGTTCGACCGCCTGTTTTAGAGACGGCGATGCTCCCTGAGGCAGACAGGGGCCTCTGCCAAGGCCAGTGACACTAGGCCTCTCTTTCCCACAACATTCTTAGTTTGTCCCCGCCTTACTTGCTATCTTCAAGCCTTCTCTTCTTAATTGCAGACTCCAGTTCGGGAATTGCTGTTTCATAAAAGGAAGCTAGTCTGTGGAAGCACACATAGGTAAAATGTTGGGTTTAGTTCATAAATACTACACTTCAATAGAAAATCAGACAACATAAGCAAGTGGGAAGGCTCATTTTTTGCTCCCACAACATATTTTCTCCTGGGACCACCCTGGCTCTCCCCCAAGCCCACCCCAGAGTGGCCAGCTGTGGCTGGTTCTCAGGAGCATCTCATGGGGAAACCTGTAGCTGTGTTCCCCACTCAGATGGAAAACCACAGCCCAGCCCAGGTAGGCTCATTCTAACAGATAAACCATGGGGGGCCTCCAGGACTCACTGCAGTTTCAGGAACAGACACAAGGTCACTCTCTGTTCTTGCTCCAAAACTACCAGTAGCTTCCTACCTCCTACGAATCAGACCATAACTCCTCTGGCATAACCAGATCTGGCACGGGTAGCCAGCCTTGCTTCTCACCTCAGTGACCTCACTCCCATCCCTTCCCAACTCAAGGTCAAATTCGAATTCCAGCCACATGGGCCCTCACTGTCCTCCCCACAATCGGTGCCCCACAGCCCTCCCAGCTTCTTGAAGGCTAACGTGCACCACAGCTGTCCTCCTCCTCCTTGTAGCATGCCAGGCCCCTCCTTCCTGGGGTCTTCCTGATCACGCCAACCCAAGGGGCTTACTCCTCCTGGAACTAGCTGTCAGCACTTTGAATATGTTGTCCTTACAATTTCAAATGCAGTTGTCCCACTTTAGAGAACAGTTTGGGGATTCCTCAAAATGGTAAACACAGAATTACCATATGACCCAGCAATTCCACCTCTAGGTATATACCCAAAAGACTTAAAAGCAGGGACACAAGCAGATAATTGAACAGCAACGTTCACTGCAGCATTATTCACAATAGCCAAAAGGTGAAAACAACCCAAGTGTCTATCAACATGAATGAATAAACCAATTGTGGTACACACATACGATGGAATATTATTCAGCTGTAAAATGGAATGAAGTCCTGATACATACTACAACATGGATAAACCTTGAAAACATTATACACAGTGAAATAAGCCAGACACATACTATTATATGACTCCACTTACAGGAAATATCTAGAACAGGCAAATTCATAAAGACAGAAACTAGATTAGTGGTTACCAGGGGCTGGGGGGAGGGGAGAAAGGGAGTTACTGCCTAAGGGGAACAGAGTGTGGGATAATGAAATGGTTTTGGAAACAGTGGTGATAGTTGCACAACATGATGAATACAATTAATGGCACTGAAACGTACACTTAAAAATGGTTAAAATGAAAAATTTTATGTTATTTTACCCCCCCAAAAATTTTTTTTTAATATTATTAAATGCAGCTGCTTCTTCTCTGTGATGCAATTCTTCCTCAGAACATGTGAATCATCCCAAGGCAAGAACTGCAGCTTAAGTGCCTAGGACAGTGCTGAATTTAGAGCAGGTGCTGTCAACACCTGTCTGTTGATTGGCTTCTGGCAACTTCTATCCTAGGGTACTGCCAGACCTAGGAGAAGATAACTAGGCCAAAAGGGGCAGGCCCTGCTAGGCCCATAGATGGCACCAGAAAAGGACAGGGAGGGCAGTTTGGCCCAAACGGCTCAGGTGTTGCCAGGATACATTGCTGGTGGGAGGGTAAATTGGTACAACCCCTATGGAGGGCGATTTGGCAAGATCTACCAAAATTTAAAAAGCAGATACCATCTGTCCCTGCAATCTTACTTCTAGGAATTCACTCCTCAGCTACACTTGCAAAGATGCAAAATGATGAGTGCACAAAGTTAATCTTCGTAGCATTTTTTTTTTGTAATAGCTGAAAACAACCTAAAGGTCCATCTATGGGGTCTAGCACCCCTTACAATGGAATCCTACAAAGTAATACCAAAAATCATGACTGCTCTATGCACTGATACAGCACCACCATTAAGAAAAAAAGGAAAATGCAAACAGTATGTGTAGTACTTAGAATATACCAACATTAAATTTAAAAAAAGAGAAAGGGAGATACATAATGTACACATTGGTTTGTACATGTATGAAATATTTCCAGAAAATTCCCCAAAAAACTATGACAATGGTTGTGTATGAGGAAAAGAACTAGGGAAGGGGTAGGGGAAGGCTTTTCACTGTATATTTTACACTTTTTCAGTTTTGAACCATGTGAAGATATAAAAGCATTCATAAAAGCAAAGGGCAGAAAGAGGAAGTGAGGAAGAAAGCTGCTGAGACAGATTAGGTAAAGAGCTGATCGGATGATTTCAAGAGAGTTCTCAACAACTGGGGTTGTGTCATTTGCTGAGTGGGGTGTTCCTGGCAGGCCTCAAGCACAGTTTGAACAGGCTGGGCCAGCCCTGGGCTGTTTCTGGGTAAAGGCAATGTCACTTTTGGTCAACAGTGTTTTCCTTTCTTCCTCCTCACCCTCAACCTCTCCCCTACCTTGGCCTCCTCCTGGCAGGAGGTCAGTGCTTCCAAAACTTGGCAAGAAACATTAACAAAATGGGGGATGGCCTGTGATAAGTGAAAGTAAGCAGGATACACAATTCTAAGAAGAGTATGAGCTCAAATTACAGTAAAACCAGTGAAAGCAAGAACCTGTGTAAGGTGGTAACATGTCAGAGAAGGAAAACTCACTGGGTGTTTATGAAGTAAGATTCTTAATAGAAAGTGATAGAAAAGCGGTATAAGACTGAACCTTGTCAAAGGCGGAAAACTTGAAAGACCCGGAAAAACAAGGCAGTCCCGCTGAGTTCCGGCTCTTATAGGTTTCACTGTAGTAGGATCTCTCACCAGTGGTTTTAATTTCCTACCTGTTCGTACTTTCCAAATCTCCTACGAGCACGTGCCACTTTTCTCATCAGAAAACCCACCTTTTAAATCAAGTGGACAGCTACAATCTCATCCCAATCCCCTTCTTCTGGGGGAAATGCTGATTGGCACTTTATTCTAACACTCTCTGGGTGGACTGATCAATCCTAATGTCTGGTTTTCACAAGCTGAGGAGACCAGGGAGGGGCCAGAGCACCAGATGCCATCCTGGCATGTGTCGGCAGTAGATAAATATTTTGCTGAACGGGCAAGTAAGTGACCGAATGCACAGACGGCTGGATGGATGAGTTGGGAAGCTCCCAGAAGATCCTGCAAACGCTGGGGAGAAGCGCCTGGCAAGAGTGACAGGCCACAGGCTGCTGAGAATGGGCTAGCGCCCACCGTTGCCAGGCCACGTGTAGGCTGCCAGCCTCTTCATGCTGGCCGAGGAACGCCCACACCCATACACCCCTTTCTTACTGCACAAGTAACAGACGCTCGTAGGCTAAGTGGGTCTCCCTCCCTGGCCCACATTCTCCTCCACTTCTTTCTTTGTCCCAGTGGGCTCTTTCTATGACTCCTTTGGATAAAAGCCTCCAGTGGCTCCCCACTGCCTGTAAAATAAAGGCTTCACTCCCTGCCAGAACATTCAAGGATCCTCACAGTCTGGCTTCTCTGGACTCACCCCCTGCCTCACGGAACATTCCATTACCTGGCTCTTCTCTGAACACCCTGGGTCTGGCTCCTTGCGTGCTTCATTCCACCTGCCTGGAACGCCCATCCTGCCACTGCATCCTTCACCTTTCTCTGTCCAGAAGGTTCCTGTTCATTCTTCAACACCTAATTTAAGGGCTGTCTCTGCTTGAACCCTTGCTTTACTTCATCAGACAGAAGTTTGCTTCCCTCCCGTGTTTCCAACCCATTGCCGTTGAGTCGATTCCCACTCGTAGCAACCCTATAGTCGATTCCGACTTATAGTGACCCTATAGGACAGAGTAGAACTACCTCATAGGGTTTCTAAGGACCGCCTGGTAGATTCAAACTGCAAACCTTTTGGTTAGCAGCCGAACTCTTAACCACTATGACACCAGGGTTTCCCCGTGTTTCCAAAGCACTTCACAATATGGTGATGGCAGGCAGCCCCACACGCAAACACATCTGTATTTCCTTGGGTGTATTCTCCCCTGGCTAGAAGCTAAGTCCTCAGGGAAGTGATCACAGCCTGTTGTCTATCACTCACTCCCTCACGTCCAACGACGACAGGGGCTTTGGAACAAAGTAGGATTGAAGTGAAACTCTCCTATTCTTGGTTGTCTTTTTCTCCCCTGCCCTGTTCTTAGCCAAAAGTGAGAATGCTTCTAACACGCAGGCTCCACATGCACAGGAGCCTTATCTATCTTCTTCCCTGCCGTGTCCACAGGTTGGAAGAGGGTCTACAGCACAGTCTAAGAACCCAGTAAATACCTGTTGAATGAGCAGGTGAACCAGACCTCTACTTCCACAGCTAGGACTACCACTGTACCTGTAACAGAAGTCATGTTTCTGGAAGGTTTGGCAAGCCAAAGGGAAGATGTCCAGAAAGGCCCAGAGTGTAGTGCAGGTATCACAAAGGTAGAGAACAATGTCCTTCAATTCCTGTTGCCAAAAGAGAACATGGCATTATTCCCCCACCCCTATATACAGCTCTGCAGAGGGTCTGAGACAAAGGTAACAAAGTCAGGGATCTTCCAACAGTAGGATGCTGCAGATGGGGCATGAGAACACTGGACCAGGTGGCAGAGGTCTGACCAAAGCCTGATCAGTCCATCTCCAGGATCTCAATCCGAGCAAGTCCCTCCTTTGACCTCCCTAAGCCTCAGGTCTTGCTACAATAGCTCAAATGGGCTTATACCCAATGATCTCTAGGGTTACTTCTATCTCTAAGATAATGTGATTCTCTCTTCTAGGCCAAGGGAAAACCAACCCCTGAATCTGAAGCCAATGCCTGGTGTCCCACGTGGACAAAGAACATCCCAGTGAAGACAAGAATATTAAGCTGACACTTTTCTTACAGTTTGAAGAGAGTTTAGAACATTACCTGTACAATTAATTCTCACAACTCTGAAGAGTAGGTTGAGCAGCCCTTAGCAACCTCAGTTCACAGATGAGGAAACTGAGGTTCAGAGGGTGAAATGACTTGCTCCTACAGAACCTGGCATGTCCCCTTCTGAATCATGTTTAATGGCTGTTTTTCCCATGAGACTATAAGCTGCCTCATTCCTGCTGTATCTCCCTCAAGTGCTTAGCACAGGAGCTTCTTAGTATTTGCCTTCTGTCTGTCATCCCCGTTAGACTCTGAGTTCCATGAGAGTAGGTGCTGTGTCTGCTTTTACTTACTGATTTACCCCCAAGGCCTAGCACAGGGCCTGACATGCCCAGGGCTCCTCATTACAAATTCACTGAAAGATTGATTCAATGAGTAACCTGTCAAGCTGAACCAAGTGAAGACTAGAACCCCATTCTCTGAATTCTAGTTCCCTGCTCTTCCCACTATCCCATAAATGAAGCTCCCAGAGAGAAATGAAAGCCTGCTGAAAACACATGAAACCTGTGTGATGGGACTAGCTGGTTACTAAGTTGAGGAAAAGAGCCATGAGCAGAAGAAGCTGCTGGATGAGCAAGAAGGTGCTTTTTCATGTCAATCTTCCCAGCCTTGGGGTAGCCAGACTCTGGTTGAAGGGGATCCTGCCAGGAAGAGGCTGGGTTGTCAGGGCAACCTCACCTGGAGAGGCATGTCGCTGGGGCTCAATCGGCCCTTCTCCTCAAGCTTCTGAGGTGTGGCACAGGTCCGGTCCCCTTGTAAGCCACAGTGCTGCAGGATATTGCTGAAGACCTGTCGAATGCAAGAGGTGACTCTCCCCATGATGTGCCAAAGCAGCTAGGACTTCGTCCCTACAGCCAGGGCTCTTGGCCAGGTGTGGGACAGGTGATCCAAAAACTGTGTTCCAAGGTATATATATATACTAGAGTCTCAGCTGGGACAATGACCTTCCCAGAAAGCAGGGTCATAGTGGAAAAAGTACAAGATGGGGATGATGGGAGAACCCTTATGTGACTGTGGTGACACAATGGTGACAAAATGTATGTAAAGCCCCTAGAATTCTACAGATTTTATCTGACAGGACAGGCAGAGCAAGTACATGGTAATGAACATTTAAGATATACATTCAGCAACATATAATACATTTTTGCATCTCCTGCAGATGCTTATTTGTGGGAAATATATTAAAAGACAAATCGACAAAGAGGGGAAAACAGAGCCCATGGCAAAATCGTGTAAGTACTGATACTGCTGTCTTTAAGTAATGCTTATGAAAATTACTATAAGCAGTGGCTATATATTGGTGGTAGGATTATGGGGGGATATTAATCTTTCTCTTTTTCTAGATTTTCCAAATGTTCTATAATGAACATTATTATTTTGTAAAAATATTTTCTAAAAATGTAAAGCTGTTATTAGAGAAGTATAAGCTTCTTAGGAGTGTATCCTTAGAGGGATACGGCAGTTGGCAAACAACATGGAATGCAAACCAAACTTTTTTTGCCTAAGAGCTGGAAAGGCCTTTAGATATCAGTCCTATTCAAGAGCGAAAAAGAGCAAATTTGAAGCGGTGTGGGTTAGGGTAGAACTGATACTGTCTGGAGATGGGTCTAGACAGAGAGACAGGGAAACAAATATCTCTCCCTGGCTCTTCCAGGAAAGATAAGGAACACCATTAGGTGGGGGAAAGGGGTCTGCTCGCCCTCCCCGGGGGCAAGGCTGACTGCTGGTACCTGAAGGATGGTGGGCATGGTTTCATCCAGGTCATTATAGTAACTTGGCTGCTGGGTAAAGATGTTTTCTGAAAAGAGAAGAGAGTGGTAGGAATTGGGGAAAGAGGGTGGGGGTGGAAAGGATATATGACAAATGGTTGCCAGCATGTTCTGCAACCTTTTACCCTTTCCTAAGCCTGTATGCTCTAGGAGGAGTCCTGGCCCCAGTTCCACTGGCACTAAGCTTTGGCCTAGCCTAGAAACTTCCCCTGGAGGAGGGGTATGGGCGGGGAGACCTTGCTCAGAAATTTAACCTTTAAGCACCTCTGCCTAGAGAATTATATAAAAGACCAACCCTGGTCAAAGTGGCTGACTCTACTGTCCCAGGGAGCAATCACACTTGGGCACCGTGCCTTGCATGGCTTTGGCTTTGGAAGTGGAAGTCAGTCATCTAGGAAAATTAAGGGATAGGATCTCTTTGCTCAAGAAATCTGGATGCTATAATCCAGTATTCCTGCCAGGCCATGCCTCCAAAAATGTGAGGAGACTCCAGGGAGAAATTTCTCTGGAAATTCTCTTGCTATCCACTTTTGAATATGCTAGCTACACTAATCTGTCCTACTCCAAGGTGAGAGGCCTGGAGGAGCCTGAAGATAGATTTACCAATACATCTGGGGTTGTTCCTATAAAATGAAGCTCCTCTCTTGAGTATTTACTATTCTCCAAGTGCTGCTGCTGCTGCTGCTGCTGCGAGTGCGTAGGTTAGAGCACATGGTAACCGGAACAGAAAGCAAGTGTTCTGGCCATCCAAATGGTCAGGGAGGGAGGGAAAATCACAGCTAGCTGGGAACATAATGATATGAAATGCCAATGCCCTTAAGAAGAGGCCAGGGCTCTTCATCTCACCTGTAATCCTAGCAATAGAATGCCAGCTAATTGTCAGGATGGTCTGAATTCTAGGTTTCCTCTGACTTTGGACAGGCCTGTCCTTGGTTTCATTACTGATAACACTGTAGCCTTCACCTACACCCTGGAGGGCTTGAAAATGAGTAAGATCAAAGGCCAGATGGAGTTGCATGAGTCAGCCAATCACTAGTTCGCTGAACTTTCCATAGTTTTACCTGCATGAGCTTACTCAGTACCTCCCACCTTCAGATGAAGGCTGATCCTGCAGCCTGTGAAGATGCACCCAGACCATCCACGCCCATCTCCGACTCCTGACAGGCAAGCTATCCCCTCACCAACGTCTGCTCTTCCTTGTAAAAGCCTCCTATCATTACTGTCATGGTCAAGTCCACACTCCTGAGCATGGCACAAAGGGCCCTGTGAAATTTGGCCTCTGCTGCCAGCTCTAGCCACCCTCTCCCCATCCTCTGCACTGCATCCTCCCTCGCACCATCCTCAACCTCAGAGAACAAGCCCTGGCCCCTCCCTCTGCTTGGAGTGACCATCCAGTGCTGACTCCACCATAGGTAGGTATTGCCTTCTCCATGCAGCACCTCCTGGCCCAGGCATTGGGAGCAAGGAGTCCCCCCATTCACCCGGGCAGCACCACTGCATTGCTTTACCATTCACAGCAGCCCACTGGGCTGCCTCCGCGGTAAGACCCACATGAGCAGGGCCACACCATCTCCCCACTGTATCCCAACCACCTAGCCCAGTGGATGGGTGGCACTCTCACAAGCCCTCCAGCATTTGAGTAATAGGGATGTTTTACAAGCATCAAAATATCAAATTTCACAACCCTTGAGGTCTTTGGAGTCCCTTCACTCTCCTTATCTGATTCTGATGACAGTGGAGATTTCTCTGACTTTTGATCTCTTAAAGAAATAACAAAAAGGTAGGGGACAGCAACGGCATCCTCTGAAAATGTCTATTCTCAGACTAAAGTGGATCAGATACTCAGGGTGAATGGAAGGTATTGCCACACAGATCGGCGCAGTCCACCGTAGGGTCAAGGCCCCAATTTACTTCTGGTTTGCAAAACAGCTCCAAGAGAGTCTAACTGAAAAGCCCTGATTTCAAAACTATACTTGCTGGTTCACAATACCAGCTTTAAGGTTTAAAAACAAACAAACAAAAAAAGGGCAGGGTAAGGACTGGGCTTCTAACCAAGGGCCAGCTGGCCTGGTTCCCTTTCTCCCTCCACTCCCTGCCAAACTCCTTACAGCTGATCTGCTTTGTCCAGGAGCTGCTGTGGCACAGAGTGGAGGCTGCCCATCTCCTTGCTGTGCTTTCTCCTCAAGGGCTAGAAAGAGGGCTGCAGGGTGGGAGGTGATGCCTGCAGGCCCATTCTCTGCTCCTCACACAGTGAAGGGGCTCCTGATGTCTTATTCTCACCTCTTTTCTGCAACCACCCTCTGAAAGCTAAAGAGGGGTTCTCCTTAATAAGCCAGTGAGAGTTCTTGATCTGAGGTCTGAGAACACCCTAAAATACCTCAAAATCTGCAAGCAGGTGCATTTTTTTTCTGGAGAGAAGCTTTCATCTCATTCTCCAAGGGCTCAGTGGCCCAAGATCAGGAACACCAGCAGCAGGCAGAGCTGTCTTGCTCCACCCTTGCCCACCTGGAACTGTAGCCAGACATAATCTTCTGCACCCACACAGGTTCCTTACACTCAACACACTGACTGTGGACCTTGTCTCTACTCACAGTCCTCCCCACTACCTCCCGACAAGCCCTTTTTCTGCAACCGACACCAGTTTTCTCTAGAATCCTTAAGACTTCTCCCTCCAGCTCACCTCACCAAGTCCTGCTTTATTCTGCCTCTGTGATACCCGGTCCCGCTCCAGCAGCCCAACCAGGCCCTCATCTTCAAACCTACACTAAAGTACTAGCCTCCTACATGGCCTCTGGTTTCCACCCCTCTCCGCTTGCAACCTGCCAGATTAACCCTGTTCCCAGATGGCTCCTTGCCCTGCTCCCAGCTCCTCAGAGGCTCCCACAGCCTCGGAACAATAAGCTCACATTTACCAAGTGCTTTTAACATGCCAGGCGCTGTGCTTAGCACTTTACTTGCGCTACCTCATACTGAATCCCCAAAGCCATCCCACGTTTTCAGATAAGAAAACTGAGGCTTATAGTGGTTGTTATGAATTGAATTGTGTCCCTCCAAAATATGCACTGTAAATGCTAACCCCTATACCTGTAGTTACAATCCCATTTGGGAAGTGGTTTTCTTTGTGATGTTAATGAGATAGTATTAGTGTAGGCTGCGTTTTAAGTTAATCTCTTTTGAGATATAAAAGATATTAAACAAGCAAGCAAGCAAGCAGCAAAGATGGGAGAAGAGAGATAGCAAGCCACATGAAGATCACGCAGGAGCAGAAGTTCAAGAGACAAGGATCCTCCTCAACAGCCAACAGAGAGAGAAAGCCTTCCCCTAGAGCTGGCACCCTGAATTCGGACTTCTAGCCTCATAAACTGTGAGAAAATAAATTATTTGTTAGAGCCACTCATTTGTGGTATTTCTGTTACAGTAGCAGTAGGTAACTAAGACCATGGTTAACTGACTTGGTCAAGGGGACATTGGGCTGTGAATTAGGCAGTTCAGCTTGAGAGCCTGCCTTCTTAGCCACACGGCAATAATACCCCTCAAGTGCTGAAGCCTGGCATGAAGCCTTCCCCATTCTGTCTCAGCTTCCTCTTCCTCCTGTCTCCGGCTACTGCCCTCCTAGAATGCTCTGCCCTAACCAAGCTTGCCTAATAATTGCTTCTCTAACTAATCATACCTGCTTTTGCTCACTCACCCCATTACTTCAGTCTGTAGTAGAATTATTAAGGGCCTTTCCCCAGGAAATAAAAAACTAACTGATGATCAAGAAATAATTAGATTTAAATAAGAAATCAGAGGTTGCTCGAATGAAAAGGCTAGATGCAAACTTAAATACACATTGTAATCTAAGGATTTTTTTTTTATGCATAGAAAAAAGAGTGGAAGAAAATAATAACCAAAGGTTAACAAAGGTTGTTTCTGGGTATAAGATTTTGCTAACTGCTTTCCTGATTCTTTATACTTTTATATTCTTCTAAACTTTTCTAACTTAACATACACTACCTTTATTATCAGAAAAAGCAAGCAAGCAAGCAAGTCCACCTCAAGGGATAACTAGTGTTTGGAAGACTGTGTCCTATAGTCTCAGAGTGAGAAGGACTGGCAGGGGTGTCCAGATAAGCACATCTCCATAACAGCCTATGGCACAAGGTGGGAGCCAAAGAGGAATCTGTTGGGGCTGCAGCATACCTACAGCACTTCTGTTTCTGATAGAACCTTCCAGCTCACTGCCTTCTGATGGGATCTGAAGTCTGTTCCTTTCACAAGCCAAGAGCCCCCTTTAAACTCTTCCATCATGTGCTCTCAGCAACAATGCAGATCATGACATCTTCGATGCCAGGCCCAACATCCCTGAAGCAGGGAGTGGAAAAGAGCAAGGGCTTAAGAGTCAGGCCTACGTGGCATGAATCCTGGAGCTTCAGCCAGACTTCTGTGGACATGAATCCTGGTTTGGCCACTTATTAGTCATGTGCTCTCAGGCAAGTCTCTTCCATTTTAACCTGTTTCCTTATCTGTAAATGGGGATAAAGAGGGCACTTATCTCAGGGGCTATAGCAAGGATCCAATTAAGATAACTTGTATACAATGTTTAGCACGGTGCTGGCCCCTGTAAGCACCCAAATAAAGGCTATCACTGCTTTCTTACCTTATCACCAAAGTAAACTTCCCCATTCCTTTGTTAATTAATGACCTACTTGTTTATTTGCCTAATTCTAAGACTCTAAGATCCTCAAGGACAGGAAATGTTGTGTTAATACATTTTTGTTTCCACTCCCTCACCTACACCTCTCACTTCTTTCTAAGTTGACACTCATATATTTGTGAAGTGATTTGCAAGCACCACTCTCCCTTCCACCCCGCTGGCGCCCTGAACCCCCCTGCGCCCACCTAGGCGCCCACCTTTGGAACCTCTAGTTTGGCATGTGAGGGCCATCTCTGGGCCACCCTCCAGGACCCGCTTCCTACGAACCTATCATCTTCTGGAGCAGCAGCGAGTTGCCTTTTCCAAAGAGCACACAGAGGTCCAGGATCTTTGGAATGTCGAACAGGAAGTTATTGTAGAGGATTTCCCCAAACGCAGAGGCAGAGATGAAGTGATCCTAAGGAAAAGTGCAGAGAGATGTGCATGGGGGTTCATTATACTTTTGTGTATGTTTAAAGATTTCCATACTAAAAAAAATATTTTAAAAAAGCAAGCTCCTATATGGGAACGCTCGGTACTTTCTGCTCAGTTTTTCTGTGAAACTAAAACTGCTCTAAAAACTAAAGTCTATTTAAAAAAAAAAAAGCCCAGGGTTGAGAAGGGCGAGTGTTGACATGTCATGGGGTTGGTAACCAGTGTCACAAAACAATATGTGTACTAACTGTTTAATGAGAAGCTGGTTTGTTCTGTAAACCTTCATCTAAAGTACAATAAAAAAAAAAAAAATGATTTAAAAATCAATAAATTTAACAAAAGCCAAGATTCTATTTCTGTCTACTCATCTGGAGCAACAGAGGAAGAAGGAGACTCAGCAATAGGAGGAGGATACGGAATGTGTGGCTAATTGCCTCCAGGAACAACTGCCTCCTCTGCCATGAGACCAGAAGAACTGAATGGTGCCTGGCTACCATTATGGAACATTTTGATCAAAGATTCTGTAGAAGAATCCTGATCAAAAGGAGGATAATGCAGAAAAGAATTTCAAATTGTCATGGACTCCAGAATTTCTGAAGCCAATGGGGCAGGATATACCCCTGAAACTACTGCCCTAAGATAATCTTTAAACCTTAAACCAAAAATATACCCTGAAGTCTTCTTAATACCAAACAATAGTTTAGCTTAGCTAGTAAAAAATGCCTGCCTTGAGCATTATGCTCTTTTAAAAACTATCTATATGGGATCAAAGTGACAATAGCAACTTGAAACATTAGATAGGAATATTAGGGGGCAGTAACTTTATGTTAACAGGGGAGGAACAACTCAGAAAAGGAGGGTGAGAACGGCTGCACAACTTAAAGAATGTAATCAATGTCACTGAATTGTACAGGTAGAAATGGTTGAGTCGGTGTATGTTTTGCTGTGTACATCCTCAACCACAAAATAAATTTTTAAAAATCCTATTTTTGAAATAAATATACACAAACACACTCAAAAAAAAAAAAAAATCCCTGCAGGAACATGCACCTTAACAGAGGGAGGGAATTTTGTGACTGACCTTCACTGTGGACATCATATAGTTCTCTAATGTTTGAATTGTTCAGAGACAGAATTATTATTTTAAAAATCAGGAAGAAAGACAGTAAAGATTTTTGAAAAGCACATACAAGTCCCTTTAAGAGCTCAGAATCAATGTTTCCACCCTCTGACGCATGAGGAAAGGCGCAGTCACACGTCAACTGGCAAAGAGCCCTCGGCTCCCATTGTACGAAACACTGGGTTTAACACAGGCCGGCCAGGTGAACGACAGGATAAGGGCAGTGGCACAGATTTCTTCCCCAATGGTGGAAATAAAGGCTGAGGGGAGACAAAGAGGAAACTCGATGCTTCTAGAACCTTCCTTCCCAGGGGTGGCAAGTCTGGCACAGAGGTGTTGGGTGTCAGCTGGCAACCTATCACAGGATCAGGGGCTTACTTTGGATTCCTTGTGAGTAGACATGCGGAGGAAGGTGAGAAAAACACTGCGATGGAGGTGCTTCTGCATGTCAACAACCTCAGGGGTTGGGGCCACCCACTCATCAAATTTTCGGGGGACATAGCGTAGGTAGGAGTCCAGGCACTTCTGCAAGGTCTCGTCAAAGATAACCTAAGCCAGAAGACAGGAGAGTGAGGGTTTATCTCTGAGGCCTGAGGGCTTGCAAGTGGATTGAGGGCCCATCAGCCCTGGCCCATTGCAAACACTCCAACCCCCAGGGATCAAGGAGGTATGAATGAACCGAGGGCTAAACACAAGGTTCTAAAAATGATATTTTGGAAGGTGTTGTGTAAACATCATCAATACTGTGACAAAGGACAGAGCAATCCAAATCACAATTTGCTGTTAAGGACCCAGTGTAAGAAGTAGACAAAAAAACCACCTCCTGGGGGGAAAATTACAATAGCAACCAACCAACGGCATGTCATGTGTTTAGTCTTAGTGTTAATTTCGATAGAATGTTACCTGGCACCAGAATTTATCGTGAGGCAAGGCCAGGAGCCAGTCGACGTCATTGGCTACGAAGGTGGCGCGTTCCAGGTACTCCTCCACTAGGGCAGGAATGTTGTCTTTAGGGGGTGGTTTGTATAACACAAAATACCGGTCTGCCTTCTGCTCGGGGTGCTACGGATCGAAAAACCACGCGTTAACGTGGCAGAGGTTAGTCAGCGAGGGCCCATTTGCCAACCCACAGCAATGACAACACTCCGCTATTCCGACCAGTGATCGTCCAAAGAGCTTTTAAGCGTAAAGAACCAAGTGTATCTAACAAAGGGGGCATGGTTGCATCCAGGGAACACTAGGCGGTCATTAGAAGCCATGTTGCTGAAGAATAGTTAATGACGCGGGGAAAGGTTAAGGGAAGAAAAACTAGGATACAAAATTCTCTAATATGATCAGTTGTTTATTGTTGTTGTTTTTTGGGCTTTTTTAAAAAGTATATATATTTAACACATTCATACGTTAGTGCAGATTTTTTAAAAAACAACTAGGGACTACACCAAAAAACTAATAGTGGTTACCTCTGGGAGGCGGGATTATGACTTAAATATATTTTCCAATTTTTCTAAACTGAACATGCATTACTTTTTTAAATTAATTTTCAATTACACAAGTGAGCATCCTTTCTTTCAAAAACTTAAAACAGTACAGAGAAGGTGAGTCACCTAGGACCACGGCCTTCTGGAGGTAACCACTCACTCATCATCCAGTGTTCACAGACCTTCTCTGGGCATTGACATTAAAATATACTCACATAAAACATTTGTTTGGGTCCTTTTTCTTCCTTACACAAACAGTATCATACCATATGTATCATTATGCTGTACCCTTTTTATAATTTGAAAAAAACTTCAGTAATTTTCTTAAAGATCCTACTCAAGTAGCCGAAGGTCTCAGCTTAGAATCATAAATTGTCTTCCAACCCATACCTTACCATGAACAAACCCTACTTTGTTCACCATAAAGAGGAGTCGACGGGCTCAGTTTTCTCCTCCGACTACATAAGGGCTGCTTTCTTTGGGAGAAGTGGTAATAGGAGGAAGGACAGGCAATGCTTCAGCTGTTATAAACCACAATACATCCACTCCCAGGTCTGTCTATCCAAGGGGCACAGGAAAGATTCATCTGATTGGTCAGCCTTCTCAAGAACCACCTATACCTCTACTGCCTAATGCAAGTTTTCAAACTGGAATTTTCTGGTTCCACAGGATTCCTTGGGAACAACCTATTAGGTAAGTCTTCGGGAATCCCTCCCATTGAAGCCAGAATTTATATAGTGGGGTTCCAAGTACAAATCTGTTTGAAACAGGAATTCTGTTGATTGAAACAAGTTGAAAACCACTTCTAGAATCTAAACCCATCTCCTTGGCATTCAAGCTCCTCCTTACCCCAATCTGTTGACACCTCACCTCCCAGGTCACTGCTCAGGCCAGCTTCTCACCGCCCCATCCCCTAACATAGATGACACACACCCCTGAGATACTACCTTCCCTGCAATCCTGCTAACATTTAAGGGGGCCCTGCTGTGCCAGGTGTGGTGAGGCACATGAAGAAAGCATCCAGATGCTCACGGAGCCCACAGTCCAAATGAGCGCAAAACAGAGGAACTGCTCGTTCAAAGCCTGGCAGAGGGACACGCGGGTGCAGAAGGGAATTAACTACAACTGCAGGACAAAGGACAGTTTCCCAGAGCAGCCAGCATCTGAGCTGGGCCTTGGAGGATGACGATTTTTAGGTGAAAGAAACAGCATTTTTTATGTAGGAATAAAAATGGGCCAGTGTATCTCCTTTTTAAATAGTTGTTGTAGATTTAAAAAAAAAATTGGCTGTGGGATATGCCTACTCAGCAGCTGGCACAAGGCAAGTCCTCGATAAGCGGTGGCTTTTGTTATCATCATTCCAGCATTCTCTCCCTCCAAATCCATCTCCCACTGCTGAGTGCAATCTGCGCTTACACTGCAGACCTACTAAATGACCTACAGTACCCACATGCCATCCTAGTCTGCTTGTCCTTCTGACCCCAGCTCTGATCTCACTTCCTCCAGGAAGCCTCCCTGACTCCTACTCCAGACAGGTTTAGGGGTTCACTCTGTGCTCACCCTACTATGGCACTTGTAGAACTTTATCAAAAGTGTCTGCTTTTGGATCAGTGGCTGCTGGGGACAGGGAGAGTGGGGGGATGGATCATAGAGGGGCACAAGGGCACTTTAGGGGTGGTGGAAATGTTTGTTATCTTGATTATGGTGATGGTTCATGGGTGTGTATGTAGGTCAAAACTTATCAAATTGTATACTTTAAATGTGTGCAGTTTATTGTCCTTCAATTATACCTCAATAAAGTTATATAAAAAAGGGGCTTGCCTTCTTATCTCTCTCCCCTACTAGCCTGTAGGTCTCTGGAGCAGTCTGAGCATTGCTCACTCAGCATTCCCAATCCCTACAACAGTGCCTGACATGGAGCAGACTCTCCACACACATTTGCTGGCTATGCAAAGTGATGAATGGAGATAATGGAGGACTAGATCCTGCCAAGGTCTTTGAAGGACACTGAATACCAAGCTTAAGAGTACTGGCTTTATTCTGCAGGAAATGAGGGGTCACAGAAGATTTCAGCACGAAGCTCCAGCAAGATCCAGCTGTGTCTTCTCTCCTACCCAAGTCCCATACCACCCTTCAAGCCTGGGTAACATCCTACCTGCTCCGTGAAGCTTTCTGAACATTTCTCTGCCCATCAAACTTCTATACTATTGACGTTGATATTGATAAGAGGCTGTTTTGCACCGTTCTCCAAATGACCCACTTACATGAGTCTTGTCTTCTTCAAGAGTCCACTCATCCCTTCTGGCCAAAGACTTTATTTCTTTTGGATCTTCAACAGTACCAAGTATGTGCTGTGCACACAGTGGCTACTCAATAAACATAAGCTCCATCTATCACTCTGCACAGGCAGCATGGTAGCTGCCCCCTGCCTAGAGAACTTCTTGCCCAAAATCAAGACTAAAGGGGTAAATGTAGGGTGGGTACCTCCTCGGGACAACTTTCAGGAGTACCCGTGGCCTTCACAGTAACACTGTTTACAGTGACCAACAAGACCCCTCCTCAATCAGGCAGCTGTCTCCCTCGGCTTGTTCCTCTTCCTACCCCTTGGTCAACACTTCTTTCGCTGTCACTGTTTTCATCACCATTATAACTACCATTTATTGAGGGCTTACTGTGCTCCAGGCACAGTGCCAATTCACAGATGTCTCATTTAATCCTCACAACCACTCCATAACACTGGTTCTACTATTACCCTTTCTGGATTCTGGGGCGTCGAGAGATTAAGAAATTTGTCCAAATATTGTATAAGACAACTATTGTAAGAACTCAAGAAAATGTTTAAACACAGAAGAAAACATTCTTTGATGGTTACAAGGGTGGGGAGGGAGGAAGAGGGGTATCCACTAACTAGGTAGTAGACAAGAATGATCGTAGGTGAAGGGAAGGACAACACACACTACCGGGGAAGTCAGCATAACTGGACTAAACCAAAAGCTACAAAGTTTCCTGAATAAAACCAAACACTTTGAGGGACAGATAGCAGGGACGGGGGTCTGGGGACCATTGTTTCAGGGGACATCTAAGTCAACTGGCATAACAAAGTTAATTAAGAAAATGTTCTGCATCCCACTTTGGTGAGTGGCATCTGGGGTCTTAAAAGCTAGCAAGTGGCCATCTAAGATGCATCAATTGGTCTCAACCCACCTGCCGTAAAGGAGAATGAAGAACACCAAAGACACAAGGAAAATATCAGCCCAAGACACAGAAAGGGCCACATAAACCAGAGACTGCATCAGCCTGAGACCAGAAGAACTAGATGGTGCCTGGCTACCACCAATGACTGCCCTGACAGGGAACAAAACGGACAGTCCCTGATGGAACAGGAGGAAAGTGGGGTGCAGAACTCAAATTCTAGTAAAAAGACCAGACTTAATGGTTTGACTGAGACTGGAGGGACCTTGGAAGACATGGCCCCCAGACCCTCTGTTGCCCCAGAGCTGCAACCATTCCTGAGGCCAACTCTTCAGACAAAGATTAGACTGGACTATGGGACATAAAGTGATATTTGTGAGGAGTGTGCTTCTTAGCTCAAGTAGATGCATGAGACTAAATGGGCAGCTCCTATCCGGAGGCGAGATGAGAAGGCAGAGAGAGTTAGGAGCTGGTTGAATGGACACGGGAAATCCGGGGTGGAAAGGAGAAGTGTGCTGTCACGGTATAGGGAGAACAGCTAGAGTCACGTAGCAATTCGTGTATAAATCTTTGTATGAGAAACTGACTTGAATTGTAAACTTTCACTTAAAGCACAAATAAAAAAAAGAAAGAAAGAAACTTGCCGAAAGTCACACAGCCAAATCTGTGTTAGATTTAAGACAAAGCCTGTGCTCTTTAACTTTGCTATCCTGCCTCCATCCCAAGAGACTTGTGGTTCCCATCCTGGCTCCCCAACTTACCTAGTTCTGTGACCATGAACAAAATCTCTCTACTCCTTAGTTTCCTCATCTGTTAAATCAAAATTACCTACCTATAGGGCTGTGGTACAGCTTAAATGAGATAATCCAGGTGAAGTGTTTAGAACAGCTTGACACAGAGCGAGCACTCTACAAATGTGAGGTACTACTACTAGAAAAGTATTTAGGAAGTAATAAGAAGCCATCCAGAAGGCAGGAACTAAAACACCAAACTCGTTTCCCACGACTTTACTAAAGCCCCCAGAAGATACTTCCTCCCACCTTATTCCAGTAAGCTCATATTCTTGGGAAAACAACAAGTAGGTATGGAGACTCCAGTTCCTGGGAATATCTCCTTCTTCAGCAGCCTGGCACCTGTCCACAGCTCTAATCTCTCCACCACTAATAATCAGCACGTTCACAGTCTCCTTATTTTTCAGTCTTCACAAGCCCTCTGTATGTGGGCTTCTTATCCAGTTGAGATAAAAGACAGCCCCAAGCTCTGAAATCAGTGTTCCCACAGAAGTGTGGATAGCAGCTTAAAGGTTCTGAAAACGTCTTGCCTGAAACCTGAACACCTCCCCCAGGGTCAAATCCCCATGCTGCTTCGGCCAGATCCATTTCCAGGCCAGCTCAGGCTGAATCAGAACTGTCATCAGCCTCTGAGTCAGTCAATGCTTTGAGGGGAAGGTGTGGGGTGGTGACATGGGAAATACTACTCAAACTCAAGCTGCTGCTCAGAAGGAAACTTCTACCTGGAAGGACCCATCATGTCCCAACTATTGAATTACCAATCACGGCCCTAGGGTCATTCTTGGAACAGATAAATAAGGAATTTACTTTTTCCTTCTGAAATTGGAAGAATGATAATATCAGGCTGAAGGGCCTCAAGGCAACGGCTCACCAGGGCTGGTAAAGTCCTCAGCTTTCCTGTCTTCGGGTCCTTCTGGGTGATCTGGAGTTCATCCAGGGGCAGAGCTGGCATTGTGCTGTGTGACCCTCCTGAAAGAAATATGGATGGGAAGAAGAGAGCAGGTACCCAGGCTCCCAGGGGCAGGGGCCTGCTTGGGGCTGCTTCCTGAGCCCAGAGAGAAACTTCAGCCTCAGGCCTTCAGGGCTTCAGACTAGTTTATGCACCTAGCAATTCAGACTGAAATGATCTTTTTGGCCTGAAGCAGTACTTCCCAGCTGAGGAAGAAAACACTCCCCAGGTAACTTCTGATATACTCTCACCCCTTGAGAAGTGCTGACTGAAAGTACTTAGATGGTCTTTATTATGGCTCCAGCTCTGCACCCTCCGTGGCCTGTGGGCTCTGTGAAGGCAGGGCCCGGGCTCTCCTTCTCCTACTGCCTCTCCTGTGACCAGCACCGGCTTGGCACGGAGGCGTCCTCATCAAATGTCTGATGAATGACTGAGTTTTGGGGCACTGCTCTTCTAACGCTAACCAGATTTTCAGTCTTTTGAGGGTTAGAGATATCTTTTCTCACTTGCAGAGGGTGTTAAGATTCACAACCTCCATAGGCTTCATGAAAGGGATTATCATTCCCATTTGCCAACAAGGAAATGGATGAACAGAAGGGTCATGAGTGCACCAGAGAGGAAGACAGAATTCGTAGAAACCTGCCAGGGCAAGCTTCTTTCTTCCGAGGCCCAAACTGGCCTCAGAGCCCGAGTGGCAGACCCCAGACTCCTGTCTTCCTGTTCAATGCACTTTTCACAATACCACGCAGCCTGACCCATAGGAGGGACGTGCACATTGGTAAATCATGGAACTGAAATGAATTAAGGCCCCTTAAAAGACATGCCATGAAAGGCCAGCACAGTCTCAACAACGACATGAAGACAGAGTGAGGCTGAGCTGAGGAAACCATTACCTTCCAAGCACTCACAGGCGAGCTGAGAGGCAGGGGCAGCCATGAGTTACCAGGCGTCCCATATTTCAGGTATGGAGCCAGGCCCTGGTGATATGAAGACAGGCTGATAACACAGGGTTTCTGCTCTGGAGGAGCTTAGAGTCCAACAAGAATAACGGTAGTAATAACAACGAAAATAGCAGCAGCAACAACAGGTACATGCTAGGTATGCTCTTCTAAGTGCTTTTTTCACCGTAACTTATTTTACACATTTTAACTCCTTTTATACATAGTAACGCTCGCAACAAACTCTAAGGTGGGGTCTATTATCATCCCCATTTTATCAATCAGAAAATAAGAGACTCAAAGAGGGTAAGAAACTCACCCAAGGTCTCACAGTTAGTAGTGGTGAAGAGGGCTGACTCTTAATCATTTGCTATATTGTCTCTAGTTTAGTCTAGCTTATGGGGGAGGGGGGTAGCCGTCAAGAAAAGATTTCTAGAGGAAATGAGCCTGAGTTGAGTCTTGATAGCGAGAACTGACATGGGAAGAAATGGGAAGTGAAGGGTGCCCCAGGCAAAGGAAAACACCAAAAGCAAAGAAAGGCAAGGAGGTGGAAAGCAACTTGGTACACAAGGAAGCTTGGTTTATGGTCTGTTTTAAGGACTGTGGAGATCCCCATCATACAGGAATGTAAAGAGAGAATCATTCTGCTTAGTCTTTGAGGCCTGTTCCGGCTCTAGGATCCTAGTGGATCAGATACACAGTCCCTGTACACATGAAGCAGCCTGAAAAAAGAATCACAAGACAAACTAATGAAAGGGGTCTGGGGTGAGTTTTCATTGTTCAGCTTTGCAAAGCATAGATAATGCCTTCTGTTGCGCGTACCCGGTTTCTAATCAGGTTACTATTTTATTAGCTTCTCGAAAAACCCTGTAAAGGACAAGGATTATTATGCTCAGATGTCCAAAGTGGGGCCCTGATTTGCTCAGGGCAAATACATGTGTGGCCAGGTTGAAACCGAAGCCCAGTTTTCTTGTGTTGAATGTGCTAAAAATACTTAAATCCCCAGCAATGCTGGAAAGAAACATCAGTGGTCTGCACCCCAGTGCAGAGAAGTCTAAATGTTTCACAGGCCGGTTCTTTCCATGCTCACCTGCTGTGGTCACAGGCCAGTTCTTTCCATGCCCACCTGCTGTGGTGAAATGAGTTCTTTTACGCGGCCTTTTGCCTTGGTCTCTGGAGAAACAGCTTGACAGATTTTTCCCCTGAGCCCTGAGGAATTAACTTTGCCCAAGTCTTCTACTCCAGGGGACTTGTTACTTTCGTCCAGGTTGACTGACATTTCCTGGGTAATCTGTAAACAAGGATGGTTTGATACTTTCTGCCTGGCCCTGGGCTGCAGCCTGCCCTGTGACTGGCATGCATATTGCAGGGATTGGTCAACAGCCTATGCAAATGAGGTGAATTATAGCCTACTGTGCAAATGAAGTGTTTGTGGCCCACCAAGAGGGGATTGGTCAGTTTGTGCCTCCCTCACTGGGAGGGGCCATGCCTTTAAATTGACAAGGAGCTGTGTATATAAGCAGCCAACCCCACAGAGGTTTGAGAGACAGAAAGAAGAAGGAAGAGAAGCAGCAGGAAGAAGCAGAAGGATGAAAGAAGAGAGAGACAGAAAGGAGGCAGGGAGCCTTCTAAAAGAGCTGTAACACAAGTCAAGGGCTATAATACTGTAGACAGCAACAAGCCCAGAAGGAGCACACTGGCAGAGCCGACGGTGAGTGGCCCAGAAGGGGACCAGCAGCAGAGCGAACAGCGACAGATGGCAGGGCCAAAAAAAGCCTGTCCTGAGGGGGCCAAGGGTGTTATACTAAAAAGAGCCTCAAGTGTTATACTAACAATTGTAGCAATTCATGTGAAGACAGTGAGCAGTCTTTTATGCAGGGGAGGAACATAATCAGAAAGAGATGATAACTTGGTGCCAGGAGATGATAACTGAGCCTACGTGGCTGAGAGAAGCTAAGAGAGCTGTCCTGCACTGAAGAAGTGAGACTTTGCCTACTTGATTCCTGATTCTGATCCCAAGTTGTACCCTGTTCCTTAATAAACCACTTAACTGTAAGCATAGGCTGCGAGTTCTATGTGGCCATTGCAATGGATTATTGAACCCGGAAGAGAAGTAGAGGGAGGACAGTTGGTGTCAGAATTGGTAAAAAAGTTGGAAAGTGGAGGTTATGTCTGACCTCCACCTCACGAGGATCAGCTTTGGGTTGATTCTGGTCATCACCCTTCCTGAAGTTAGACAGGTTCTGATGCTATTACTACTACCGTTTTACACCTGCCAAAGGATAACACTGGGAGAGTCCAGTGGGGGGGCCTAGGGTGGGGAAAGTCAGAAGGAGGCAAGTTTCCACTCTTTAAACACAGCTCGAGTCCAGGCCCAGACAAACAGAGACAGTGTCTGCCTTCAGAAGAAATCCATTTTCTACAAGCCAGTGTTTGCAAAGGCAGTGCAGGGCAGGCTGGTGTGGTGGTTGAAAGGGCAGACTCTACAGTCCTGCAGCCTGGATTCAAATCCTGGCTCTACTTTTTCCTACCCATGTTGTGAGCTTGAGATAGTTCCTTAACTCTCTAAACTTTGGCTTCCTCATCTGTAAAATTGGGATGATAACAGTATATAGTCTCTTAGGGTTAGTATGAGAGGTAATCAATGCTAAAGGTTCAACACAGTACTTGGCATATAATAATCACTCAATAAAGTTTAGTTGATGTTACTGTTCAAGTCCCAAGCATAGGCAGAGCACTTTGGGTTTCCTCATTTATTCAGCAAATACTGACTGAACACATTCTGGGCCCTGGGGATTTGGTGGTTAAGAGACATAATAGAGGAAATTTCCAAAACTGGGGCACAGCAGAGAAAGAAAGTTCTTTATGGGAGGACATCACAGAGAAAGTGACCTATAACCTAGGTGTTGAAGGATAAAAGGGAAAGGTAGAGAAGAAGGGCATTCCAAGGAAAGAGCAAGTACGAGCAAAGGCTCAGAGTCTTAAAATGTTTGGCTTTCACGGAAGAGGGAGACATTCGATGTTATTAGAAACACAAGGTCAGGAAGGAGATGACAGAAGTGAGAAGCGAAGAGGCTGGATAGAGAAGATGGAACCAGTTTAAAAACAACCTCAAGTGTTATACTAACAATTACGGCCATTCACCTGAAGGCAGAGAGCAGTCTTCCAAGAAGGGGAGGAACACAATCAGAAAGAGATGATAACCTGGTGGCAGAAGAAATTTCCTATGAACTTCTCAAGCTCAAAGACCGTGCATTAACCTCTCACTCATATATTCAAATATTTTTTGAACACCTACTATGTGCCAGGCACTGAACCCCAGAGAATACTAAGGTTGTCAAATAACAGACCTGGTCCTGCCGTTTATAGAGCTTACAATCTTAGTGGAAAGACAAATACTAATCAAACAGCCACACAAATAAGAAAAAAAAAAGATTTTATATGTCATGTAGGTGAGGCCCATGGGGGCTATGACAGCATTTAACAGAGGAATCTGACTTGAGAAGTGATGTCAAGGGAAATTCGAGTTTTCATCTAAAGTATGAGTAGAAATTAAGTAAGAAAAGACTAGAGTATATGCTCTAAAAGCACAAGGACAATGATCATGACTATGGCTGTGCCCCCACTGTAACCCCAGTACTGGGCAGGGCAGCAGAGGCCATAAGTTAGGAAAGGATTTTCTTTAGAAGGGGAGCTCAGTCCAAGCATCAGTTACAATAAGCAGAGCATGGAAGCTGAGCATCCCCAGGGCTATCGCTGCCTCAGTTTCTCTGTCTGTCATCACCCTTCTGGTCTTGGCCCAACATAACCCTCCTCAGGTACCTACCCAGACAGCCCTACCTGAAGTATTCGCAACCCTAGTTACTGTCATACCTTTAACTGTCTTGTGCATTTACTTTTCGTTGACTGTCTCCTCCCACTAGACTGGAGGCTCCATGACGGCAGGAACTTGTCTGTCTTGCTCTATTTGTATCCCCCGTGTTTACACCTGGGCCTGGCATGTAACAGGGGCTCGAAAAATACTTGTTGAACGAATGAATGAACCCTGAGGAAACTGAAGCCTGGGACGGGGGAGGAGGAAACCGTGACTCATCCAGGGTCACTCGGGGTCGAACTTCGAACCCGGGGTTTCCAACTCCGGCGGCCTGGCCTCGGGGGGCCTACGGCCGGGTAAGCCTTGGCCTTGGACCGGGGTGGGAAGGTCCGAGGCCGCCCGAAGAACGGCCACGGCTGCTCCCGGGCCCCAGGCCCCGCATCTAGCAGGGCCTCGACGCACACTCACCTCGGCGGCTCTACCACCGGCGCTGTTCCGCGGCCACCGCCGCGCACGGTGACAGCTCCCCGAGCGCCAGCACTTCCGGGGTCAAACGGCGATTCCGCAGGCGCAGACAGGAAGCCTCGGCCAGGCCAGGCCCCGCCCCCCGGCGCCGCGAGGCCCCGCCCCTAGCGCCAACTGCCACCGCCTCAAGCCGCCGGGATGAGAGACCCAGCCCCGGGCCACGCCCACAGCCTTAATACTCCGCCCCCACGAGAGCCGCAGGGTTGTGACCACATTCCCCGTTCTCGCTCCCTTTCCGCCTTCAGAGAGAAGGTGGTGGGCGGGCCGTGGGCAGGTTAGGGTTCCACCTCTTGGGAGATCCACATTTGGTATACAAGACAGCCTTCTCAGAACCCCAGGCTTCGACCTCTTACCCAACCTTCTCAATCATCGTTTTACAACAAATAAAGTTGTAAACTACAGTAAAGTAAATTTAACAAGTCAAAAGCGTGAACATGATGTTCAGCGAAAGAAGGCAGACAGAAAGTACAGGCTGCGATTCCGTTTTATAGGAAGTTCTAGAACAGGCAAAACTAAGGAGTGGTGATAGGGGTTAGGATGTCAGGATGGTGGGTACTTCAGAGACATGAGTGTCAGGGGCCACAGGTGAGGCTGGGAACGTTCTGTGTCTTCGCCTTTGTGGTGGCTTACACAGATGTGTTCACTTTGGAAAATTCATCAAACTGTACACCTATGATTTCTGCCGTTTTTTGTATGTATACAA